AGCGGGCGGGTCAGGAGAGGTCTGCCACGCCATGTGGTCACCTCCGGGGCAGGCGGGAATCGAACTCATGCCGAAGCAGCTCTTTAGTTTCTTAGTGCAGTGCTTTAACCCGCTGCGCCACCAGGGAGGGCCCTTGGAATATTTTTTAAATTAATTAATTTATATATTTTTTACATCATTGTTCATTTCTGTACAATGTTTGCTTTCTCCTCTCAGGTGTAGTCCCCATAGAAGCCCCACCACCAAGTCACCCATGACCCTTCATAGTCCCTTCTGCTCTCCCTCCCCCACCCCTGCAGAAAGTCTCCAATTTTTTTTTCCCAGTTAATTTTGGATTTATTTATCATAATTATTTTTTCCTGATCTCTTATTTGGCTTCCCTGTGTTCCTCCTATTAAGTGAAACCACCCGGTATATAACTTTCCCTTCTGGTTTATTTTATAATCCCTTCCCATTTATCTTTTTTTTTTTTTTTTGATTGCTGAATAGCAGAATATTTTTTTAACCCCTGCCTCCAAAGATCTGGTTGCTGTTCACCTAGGAGCTGTCTCCCCCAAATCCACCCTGGTCTTCTTCCTTTCCTTCAACGTTGTGCTTATTCCACCCTCAGGGGCATCAAATTCACTTCACCTCTGCTCTGGAATAGCTCCCCCAGATTTCCTAACAGCTGCTGCTTCTCTCCTTTCTATTTTCAGATAACCATCTCCTCAGAGAACTTCCCCGTCCTCTCTGAGGTGAAACCTTCACCTCATCCCAACTCCAGTATCTTATTTTCTGTGACTTTCTCAAAGCTTCTATTTTCCCTGTGTATTGTCTGTTGTTGCCCCAACAACAAGCGTTCACCAAAGCCAGCCTGTCTTCTCATCACCAACCCAGTGCAAAGGGTAGAATTAAAAGGGTCTTTGATGCAGGAAGACTCCATTAACCCGCCCACCCACCCCACCCCACCCCACCTCACCCCCACTTCAGATAATCTCCAAACACTCCCTCCGAGACCTCATTTCCCTCAACAGTGAAATAAAAGCGATAGGGTCTATGATTTTTAAATGTCCTTCCAAAGCTAGTATTCAGAGGGTCTAAGATAGGAAACTTCTGCAAAGGACCAGCTAGGAAATATATTAAGCTTTGTGAGCCACACTATCTCTGCCACAGTGACTCATCCTAGCCAGTCACTGTAGCAAGGCAGCAGCCACAGAGGGCACATAACCAAGGAGGTGTGGCGGGGTCAAATAAAACTGTACAGAGCAGGTGGTGGGACACATTCAGTCGCTGGTCTGGAATTCGCCAACCCCTGTGCTGAACACCTGTATTCTCTGCCACACTCTCAGGGCAGCTATTGTATCTCCCAGGCCTCTTTTCCCCATTGTTACTTACAGATTCTAGCTCACCCCACCCTGTAAGTCCCACTTTCCCCTGAAGTTTGTACCAGCAGATCACATCATTCTACCTTTAATTCTTGCCATTTATCCAGACTCACTGGTGAAGTTAGCACCTGGTGAAGTTCATCCCTTCCAATGCTACTTCTGTCAAAATTCTCAGTAAAAATTTCAAATTCCATGACTGTAGTCCTTCCAATACCCTGGACTCTTATCTCCTTGACTTTCTCATTTCTGGTGATCTTATCCTCCCTCTACTCTACCTTATCCACCAGCTCCCACAGTCTTACCCTAGACTTCCTTATCACCAGTGTCTGCACTTTGTCCCCACCTAATCTGTTCTACTCAAAAGGTTCCCTTAAAAATACACATCAAATGTCCCCCACCTCAATGAATGGTAGTCAAAGTCCAGTTAACACTGACACATCCCTTACCAGTCCCCAGCCCTCATTAAACTCTTACTTGCATGACCTCCTTGTTGTTCCTCAAATAAGTCTAGCACCCACCTGCTCAAGGCCTTTGCAACCTACTGTTCCTTGTGGAACAATCTTTCTCGAAGTAGAGTTGCCTTTCTCACTCCCTTCATGTCTACTTAAGTAAAACCATACCAAAGAAGTCTTCACTGGCCACCCCATCTAAAGCAGAATTCATCTGTCTACACTCCATCAATCTCTGTCCTTCCTACACTGCCTATTTTTCTTCACAGCACTTGATTTAAGTTGCACTTGATATAAGTTCCAGGAAAATAAGACTTTGCCTTATTCTTCTGCACCCTCAACATCAGAACCATAGTGCATAGCACATAATAAGTGTTCAATAAACATCTGAATGTGTCTAAACAAATCCTTTTGGGAGCAACGTACCTTCTTTCAGTGCTGCGGCCAGTAATGAGGCCGCCTGGGGAGGCTCTCCCGGATCGGGCTTAATGAGGAGGTGGGGCTCTAGATGGACATCCTCAAACCCACTCATTTCTCCAAGTTCAGCATAGATATGCAACTTCTCCTCCAAATATGTGCAAATCTGTTGGTCTTGGTTACTGAGTATTTCTGTGAAGTAGCATTTACCATAAAAAGTTATCACATGAATAATATGATGAAAATCCAGGTTTCAAGAAAAAGACATTGCTAATTAGTGAGCAGGAAAATGATAAGTTATTGGGTGGGACAGACCAACAGACAAGTCCTGACTTTTAGTGACAGGGGCCTCCAGCAATGACTTAACAGTTCTCTCCGTTTCCACTGTATTTTTGGTAAAAAAGGTACTCAATAAATGTTTGTCGAGTATGTTTCCCATTCCCCTAATCCCACAAAAAGCTTGCAAAGCTATTCTTTGTTTATTCAGACTGTTTTTTATTAAGACTAAACATTAAGCTCAGGAATGAAAATTGAAGCAGTCCTGTCCGGGATGAGCCATACCCGCGAGGGAAAACAGCACGAAGGCCTGGAACTGCTCGGACTTCAGCCCGTCTTGGTCAAAACCAAACACACTGGTTTACTTTTGTAGTCCTAAACCTCCAATTTCTTTCCCCATCTTTGCATGCCTCATTTTCCTGATTTCTATGTGTCACAAAACTCTCAAGCCTTAAAGGAACCTTACCCAACATCTAATGCAGGGGTTCTCAGTCTCCTCAGCCTCTGAAACACTGGAGGGGAGTTTAAAATACTGATGTCTACACCCCAACTCCCACAGAGTCTAAGCAAATTGGTGGAGGGAAGAACCAAGTATCAGTATTTTAAAGCCCTCCCCAAACATCCTACTGTCTAGTCAGAGATGAGACACACGGAACTAATCTAATTCGCTCACTTCACAGACTGAGAATGAAATATCAAGTTTTGGGGTTCCTTTTCCAGAAAAAATTATGCAACTGTGACCTGACAACAGCATTCGAATCAATGGACAACAGTTCCAATGCCCACCTGCCACTCACTGCCTGATGGGGGCAGTGTGTCCTAAAGGAGCAGCATGTCCCCCACCCCATTTCATATAAGAAACCCCAGTTTCTCATATGAAAGAAACTCCCATCATGCCATGAATCTGCCATGACTTTTGACTTCTTGAAGTTGGGATTGCTGGGAACTAAGGGTGGAGTCAAGCAGCCATGTGTGACATAGAACTAATACATGTGGGCATGGAGGGGGCATGGTTTTGCCTGCCTTCCCCATACATCTGGATTCCCAGACCAAGCAGCCTAACAGTTTGGACATAGTGACCAAGTAACTTCTTTCTCTCTCCTCCTCTTCCTCCCTCTTCCTCTTGTGTGTTTGTGTGTGTGTGTTCCCCTCTTTTCTTTCCCTGGTAAAGAAATCTTTTACTAACCTTTCTATATGTGCCTGCCCTTGGATCTTACTGAGTTCTACTAAGCACAGGAAGGACTTAGACCAAGCCATCCCACTTCCCTTTGGGGTTGCCTAGTTATTGTTTCACATTTGTTACCAACAGAACTTTTTAAATACATTTTATATCACTTTTTAGTGCCAGCATGCTTTTTGCTATCTTCTTTTCAAGAGCGTGATCAGGGTGGGCCTTGGGTGAACAGAAATAATCAGGAGTAACCTGCCATCTGTGCTTCTGACCAGGGAGCAGAGGAACCTTGCTGTACCTTGACATTGGTGAATTTTGGCCACTCTTGCTTCAGCTTTCCGCCTCTCCTCATCATATTCACTTGTCCTTCCCCCTTCTTCTTCTGGGCAACTTTTAAAAAGATAACAGTCAAGAGAGACAACTGAAAATAAATAAAAACTCTTTATGTTCACTACAAAAACATGGGGACTTGACAGAATTATTCAGAGAAGAAAAGCTCAGCAGAGAGCAAATTTATCATGTCCCCTAACCGAAAGATCTGGGTTTCTTTAGTGCATAACGGACCTTGTATGACTTGACATGGTCAGTAGAATAGGATAACTCAGGGATTCCATCCAAAGCACATGAACCCACACATTTTGTCTTTCTCAGTGGCCCCCTCTCTCATAACATCAACACCAGCATTAAGTACACCTGCAGTAATTTTTGCTTTCTACTACACTTGGGTGCCGCTATTCTTTGTGTAGCAGAGGAGTTGGAGGGGTGAAGTAGGGTGCCAGGTTGTATGGGGTATGGTTGAAGTGGAAAAGTTTTATATAACATCATTCAAGATCAAACTAATTAAATTACGATTAAGAATGAGAATGCCCACCCTTCTATCCCATTTATAGCTGCACAAATAATGAGGACTAAATTGACTTAGAACACATAAATCCACCAATCTAAAAATGTTTATTGAATGAGTCTCCAGAATTAGGGGCACAGATAAACATAAGTCATGGTCCCTGCCCTCAAGGAGCTTCCAATCTAATAAACATAAATATACAAAAAAAATGGTAATAACTAGAAGACAGTCTACGTGATACACACCAAATAAATGACAGAGAGAAATGTGCTAAGGAATTTCAGGTTAGGTGAGACCACTGAGACTGAAGAAGTCTTCATGAAGAAAGTAAGCCACCAGCTGCACCAAAGATGGGTGGGATTCACACAGGCAGAGGGGAGGTAGGGCATGGCATGCAGGGAGGTGTGGAGAACAAAGCTGCAGATGAGGAGGAGCTACTGCGGGTGGGTGTGGGGAGCAGAGAGCAGAGCATTCTCGCTGAGGTAACGTTTCATGCAGGGAAGACATGGTTAGAATATTTCCTCCAATTGAGCAGGTCCATTCCCTAGATATGGACAAAAGGAAATATTACCTTTCTACTGCCTGCTGGATCCGTCTCATCCAATTATTTCGTTCCTCCTTGGAATTAGTATGAATTTCATACATCTCAGGACCAGCAGATGAGGCACTGATGAGAAACATTCCTCTCTCCTCATTAGCAACTTCTCTAGCAATCAGCTTCTGAAGGGAAATAACGGATGGCTTCTGATCCTATATAAAACAGAAAGATGCACAGATGAAATAAGAGTATGAGAAGATGAAATGAGACCTAACGTAAGGGTATCACAAAACACTTTAGACCAGGGAAGCAACAGTGTTAGGTAAATCTTTATTTCATTTTAACACCCTTCAGAAGAGCTGTGTAAATTAATGCGATCTCCAGTGGAAAAAGCATGTTGAGGAGAAGGTGAAAGCTAAGGATATAGGCAAATGTCTGTACTTACTAATTGGTGGTTTAAAAGGACAACTTTCAAAAGATAAAACAAGCAGGGCAGAAAGGAAAAAATCAAAATGTTGGAGGTGGAGTGATTTTTCTAGAAAGGCTTGGAATAGAGAAATGTTGCAAAGAAATTGGAACAAATGAAAGACAATAGAATTCACTGGATATATTAGTTAATAGCAACACTGTTTCAGTATGGGCACAGAAGTTGGGTACCAAGGAGTAACTGTAAAATGAAAAGAGTGAGAGGTGCACCCAATGTTCTCTACTGTTATGGTAGAAAGCGCAGCAATAAAACTTTGATAGTTCTACCTGCAAATGCTTCGTTTCACCAACCAAACAAGCCCTTGTTGGATGCATCTTAAGTCTGTCTACCACAGTGCTTTGTATGAAGTAAGCACTCAATAAATACCTCTAGAACTAAGTTTAGTATAATCACATCAGAAGGGGAATAGCAAGAAAGCGACCTAGAAGCCAAGTCATGATTAACCCCTTCTACCAAAATTTACTGCAACTCTTCAGTGTCCCATTCTAAATACGGGGCAACTCAAAGTATTCTGATACTGATAATGTTCATTTTGGTTGGTAATTATGTTTAAGCAAGTAGGCAAAAGAATGCCTGCAGGATGAACAGTCTGGGGATAAGGCGGAAGAATCTTTTTTGGTTTGTGGCTTCCACCACTGTTTATAGAGTCGGTTGCATTATGTGGTTTTTGCTTCTCCCTCATGGACTGAACGACGCCTTTATCCAGAACACGCCACACCATTTCATTCCTCACTGCTGGCTCCTTTCTGCTGACTTGTCAGCTTTCCCAGAGTCACATAGCTCCACCACATCTGACATTGTGAGCACCCAGAATGCCTCTTCACCCCATTCTTTGAGTTGCTGTAGACAACACTCACCCTCATCCTGAGACAGACCACCAGTCCACCCAGTTCTGTGCTTTACCTCTGTAGATAGAAGCAGCGTTATCCTCCCACTTGGGAATTGTGCCTGAGCCTGGGTAGCAGCCATAACAACTGAACTCAGCTGTGATCTACTGTTTAAGACCTTATCTTGTTTTCCTTCTTCCAATGCAGAGTTTTATCTTACTCAGTTTACAAAGAGGCAGAGTAGGCTTGAACTGCTCAAGACATCCACAAAAGTGAGAGTATTTGAGCTAGTTAGTGCTGCAGGAGGAAGGGAGTTGGTGTGTCAGATATTTAACAGTGAGTAGAAAGTGACATTAATAAAATCAGATCAGGAGGCATGTAGGATGTGTCCACCATTATTCATACTGTCACATGTGAACCCACAAATCCAAGTAAAACCGCTAGGCAAGAAGGCAACGTGTCTGCTTTGGAGCAGATGTCAAAAACTGTTGATACAACAACCTCCCAATACAACCTGCAGAGATGTTTTATTTGTGCCAAAGCATTTTCTTGGTAACAGCTGTCAGCATCTAGAAACTGGGGACTTCCCTTTTTAAGAATAAAATTTCTAGGTTTCTGCGTTCTTGGGGAAAAGCAGGAGATTGGCAATCCTCACTTAAGAACACTGGCTAAACTGAATAACCCATTCTCTCTCTGAGGAGGGCCTCCACTCGCCAGCTCACTACAATCCCCACCCTCTCTGTCAGTGCTAACAAGTGCAGTCTAGTTCCCGGCCAGCCCCTGCAGACAAGGGATGTGACCTCTGCCACAGGAGAAGAGGAAAAGGAACTGCTAGCTTCAGCCCCGTTGTTATGTCATGCCAATTTTGAGTGTGTAAGTGAGGTAGGTAGAAAGTGACGATTCCATTCAGTATTTTACAGAACAATAGCTTAAGGTCACTTCGCATTTTGAATCTCACACTTATCTACATGTTCACCCACTTATTCATTCATTCATTTTGAAATTACCCTCTTTGCTTTTAAGACAACCTTCCACACTCAGTATTCCAGGAATTAGGGAACAAATTTATTTTTCCTCTTCCTTTCCTACTCCAAATTCTAGATGATGTCTCTTTAAAAAAAAGACCTATTTTTCTTGCAGGGATGCTACCCCGTCCTTTTGCTATTTTTCAGTTGTTTATCTTCTAATTGCTTCAATTCATCACATCTCCCATAGCAGGTAGCAAGTGCACCTTTGAGTTCTTCTAAAACCCCAGGGCCCACAAATCTCACCTGTTAGCATAAAGAAAACTTTCTAAAACATTGCAATGAGCACTAGAAAACCCTAATAACTGCATACTGCAGGCAGTGCATCGATTCCCACAAGCTTTACCTATAAAAATTTCTATTACATATGAGAGAAATCAAATAGTAGAACACAGGTGATACTTGCAGGTAATGTTTCCTCTTCTGCTCCCCAGCACCGACCAGCATGTGGTTGGCCTTTCTGAATGTGATCACATGTCAGACTAACATTTTCAGGAATCAGCATCTGTATCATTTACTGTTGTCCAGGCCAAACACATTTTACCAAGCAAAGATGTGGCTTCCTTCTGGAATTTTCTGGATTACATTCCTAAATCCCCTACCTTATGGTAAGTGTGCACTATTAGTGACACATATAAATCTTGAGGAGATCAGGTAAGAGGGATGTATTGGCATTTTGAGTCATATGCTAAGCTGAGCATAGCAGTTTGATCTGAATCCATATGCCATGTTGTCTAGAATACTAACTAGGGAGTTGTCTTTATGCTGGGGCTATTTCTTGATCCATCAGTAATTCATCTGGCCTATTATAACTGCCAAGGAGCAGATTTGCTTCTCTCTCAGATCTTTAGTTTTGAAATAACTTTTGTTTCTATAAAAACTGTGGTATAAATTTGTTTTCTTTTGCAGCAAGGCCTTTACCAGTCTGCTGGTCAAACAAAATGGCATGACCCTGCCTCTCGCTTCCTGGATGTGCATTCAGAACACCTCAGGGAGATGCTGCTGGACACATCAGCAGGTTTCCATTAAATTCACAATGTCTACAGTTGAAATGGCTCAGAGCCATGTGGACTTGTTTAAGGCCTCTTGTTCTCTGGGATGGCCTTGTGAAACAATCTCTGACTTTTGTACAACTTGGCATCATCGAGCTACTGAAAGGCTATGTGCTGAATGAACAAGGTGAAGCAACCTATAGGGAAGGCTGACAGGTTTGGGCAGGCAGGTGAGGTCCAGCTCCAGCCTCTTCCTCTCTGGCATCCAGCACGGAGCCAGCATGCTTCTTTGTATTTTCTGAACAGCATAACAGAAACTTCACTGAGCTGTGGATGTGCCAAAGGATTTGCCAACTGGATTACCAGTTGGAACTGATGACATCTTTTAGTGGTGCCCAAATATGCTATTATTCAATGGATGATAAGCACGAGCATTTTAGGAAGCCACCATTATACTGTCCTGATGGTACCGCATCTTGGATTCTTTCCCTAGCAGGGCCTGATGTTCCGTGGTCCTTACAAGGAGCTAACTGATGACATCTTCATTCAGACGTCATTTTTGGACTGTAAGACAACCTATAAGAAATGCTACACAATACTGACTACTACTCCGTGCTGGCAATGAGATTAATACACCACTATAAAGATCAATCCCAAGAACAACCTTAGCAATCAGAGTCATTACTGTAAAAATAAAGAATTATATTTATACTTTCATTATCAGGCTGGTGTTCTCCAGTTTGGTAGAAGGAACACTATGACAGTTTTTAATAGGGTTAGCAACAGTCACTGCAGGCACTATCTAAGGAGACAAGAGAGAGGAAGGTGCCAGAAGTGACCTGCCCCTTCTAATATTAGCATTATGTAGCTGGAGCTAAGGAAAGTCCAAAGGTTGGGTGGGACAGGGAATATGGGGAAGCACACCTGGACGAAAGGCCAAGATAGCCAGATGCAGAGGGTCACTCGGGGGCTCAGGGCGGTGTGACTACTCACCAACCAAGATGAAAGCACTTCAATATTTTGAGCACTGGTCAGACAGCTGAACCAGCTGACTATCAGCCCTACTGCTAGTTAACCCAGTTCAATGCTTGTTACTGAATACTGCAATCACTAACAAGGGGAATAACACAGGAGCATTTTCTCAACAGTAACCATTTAATTTCATGAGAACTTCAGGTATTTTTCAAGATGTGGGATTAAATCAATTAAAATATGCATCATGTAGCCATGTACTTACAACAGCTGCAAAGATGTATTTCTGGTCTTTCTCTTGCAAAAAGAGCAGCACATCGGTTAGAAGTAGAGCTAGAATATCTTCAAAGAAAAAAAAAGTTGCTAGTATTAATGAAGCAAACCACAGCTCAAGTGCCTTTAGAAAATACTCTGATTTCATATTTGACATTTTTAAGCTTAATAAAAATTAAGATTAAATTATCACCTTTATTCAAATCCCTATATTTTGATAGCCAAAGATTTATTTGATAAATAATTTTAGTAGATGAGTTGTGTTTAAGTGTGCATGTTTGTGTGTTTAACTCCAGGTGAGCCTAAATCTCCAGAAAAACTTATAGTTACAGCTTTCAGGAAAAAACACCATAGAGAAAGAAGATTCTAATAGAATAAAGCATGTCCTTAGCAGGGTTTTTGGGGAGGAGAGGAAGGAGTAGTAGTAAAATGCTATTTAATTAAAAATTCTTTCTTGAATCACACATACAAACCTGCTATTTTGTTCCATCTAGATATATGAGGGAAGTTTATGATCTCATAATTCCTTTAGAAATTATTCATAAGGGCCCTCCCTGGTGGTGCAGCAGGTTAAAACACAGCACTAAGAAGCTAAAACCACTTAAGCGTGAGTTCAATCCTTGCCCCGGAGGTGACCCACATGGCGCAGCAGACCTCTCCTGACCTACCCACTGCTCCCCTCAGCAGTGCACTTCATCAGTTGGCCTGTTCTGCTCCCCACTCTGTCTCTGGTGAATCCTCTCGCCCCCCGAGCCTCTGGCCTGTACCCTACTTCTGTATGCACAAATAAATAAATCTTTAAAGAAATTATTCATAAGACCTGATCTTTACTATACTGCTAAGCACTCTAACAAATTTAACAAACTGTTGATTCTACAAAACGGCTAAAGAGTAAATGACTTGGAACAACAGGAACTACAGATTGTGATTAATGCTTTAGTTGTGGTGAATATACTAATTGTGGTTAATAGGGAGTTGTAACATTCCAAGTTGCTGATGAGCAAATCCCATTTCAGTCATTAGCTGCAACCACCATCCAAACTTAATAATCCTCCAATGAGTTACCTTTGAGTAACTAGAATTCAACAATCTCTTTCCCTCCTTGCATAGCTAAGAAAGTTATTAAGACATATTAGCAACAAGGAGACCATTGTTCCTAACCTGGCCGCAGAGACTCCCTGGAAGCATTTAAACATTCCTATGGTTGGGCCTCATCCCCAGACCAATAAAACCAGAATCTCTGGGAAGAGACTGAGCATCAGACATTTTTCTTAAGCTTCAGAAGAGGTTCAGTGTGTGGCCAAGGTTGAGAAAGCCTGGATCAGGTAAGGAGTTAGCTACAGTATGGGCTCTTAAGACTTGCAACAAACTGTTTTAGACACTAACCAGATTAACAGAGTCAAGTTAATGCCCACTAGCAAACAGTAGCTTTATGGAAGAGTTGACACCAAAGTCAACATATATATTTATGCATTATATTACTCAGCAGCATATATATTTATGCATTATATTACTCAGCAGCATATATATTTATGCATTACATTACTCAGCAACAAAGACAACAAACAGTTCATCTCCCCTCCATGCTCTGGCAGCCCCACCTGGTGTAGCACCCGACAGATCTGGGTGGGTAGGCGTTCCGTCTCACTTTCAACACACCACATGTGCCAGAGTAAGATTTCTGTGCCAACAATTAGCAGAATCCTCAGTTCCTTTGATTCAAACATCACAAACTTGTGGGCTCATAAATACATATGAAGATTTTTGCTCGGGGGCCCACCAACTATGTGTGGTGTTGGCCAGGTTTGCCTACTGAAGTTCACAATTAGATCCTACAAGAATCTTGCCAATGACCCTAGATATATGTGTATGCCTGCTTTTCTTCAATATTTCTCTCTTAAAAATCTGTCCTATGCCAAATGAAAAACACGTGTGAAAAGAGAAAGAACTGTCTTTTGGAACCACCGTACCTTTGAAACGACCCGTAGCAGTTTTCCAATAAACAAGCCCATCATATAACAGAGTCCTTTCTTTACTTATCAGCGTCTGCTTTCTGAACACATGGCCGTTTTTGAGCTTTGTATACGTTTTGTTTTCAATCTTATTTAGAATCTCAAGCCATTTTTGGTTTTTCTCATATTCACTGACTTTCAAATCCACGGCTGCAATCATGTCCTTAATTAAGCCAAGGGCTTTGCATAAGTCTTTATGTTCTTCAGTTCTTTCTGCATGGGGAAAGAAAGAATACTGTATAATCAGCCCAAGTAATAAAGAAGACATGTTTCCTTTACTTTTAAATACAGTTATACTCATCATAAAAATAGCAAAATTTCATTAAAAATGTTAAGTTAAATTTAAATACTGTATTTAACTCTGAACTCTCCCTCCCAAAAAACTGCCATTAAGTACTTCATTATAAAAATGATTTGTTTTTAATCAGAAGTGTTGAGGCTAAAACACTGAGGCAAGATGATATATGAAATCTGGGGACTAATCTGGTCTTCCCCTGGAAACAGGGAGTGGGGACATGCCATACACTAAATTCAGCCTACCTCCCACCTTCCCAAACACTGGTAATCAAGAGCCCCCCACCACCACCACCACTAAATTTCTGAGAGCTCAATGGCCTCAGACCCACATTAGTATCTTTTCACTAAAGGGAACTGCAAAGTGACCTTGATGGACTCCAAACTTACACGACTTCCTCCATGGATCCCTTCCTCCATAAAAACAATATTCACAGTTGATAATCACAGGTTCCAGGTGTTTATTCTTTAACACACTAGCCACCTGCTCTTATACCTAGATTATCTCAAGAAAAAAAAGTCTGGGGGAGTTTCTGGACTAGTCTCCTGAAACTCCAGATAAAACTGAACTAAGATAGCGTCTCTATTTGTAGATAAGAAAAAAGTATCTATTAGATGTGCATGGAGGCAGTGAAAGTGCAAAGGAATATTTCAGAAGGTCAGAAGGTGGTAGAAAGAAAGGAGAAAAGAAAAGTTGGCAGAGTAGGAGTTTCTGAGTCCTAGAGCACCAGAAGTTAACAGTCGAGTGGAATGAGAACTAGGCCTTCTAAAGGCCAGCACATTCCAAGTTCTAAAGGTTAAAGCCACAAGGAAGCCTCAAAGAACAGATCCTGACACCCACCTTCAGCAAGGGAGATACTTTCTTTCCCACTGCCACTGAAAAGAATATACTTAATGAAGTTTAGTAAACTTCCCACCCTCTCCAAAATAGGTTCTTTCTGAAAAGCCTATTTCAAAAATAGGAAGCTCAGTGGAGAAAAATCAATGTTGGGTTCTAGGATGACTTGAGGTAGGACCAAGAAAAGCTGCTAAATCTTCTGGCTTTCAGGGTAAATCACTGTCTTACAACAGCTTGCTATTCAGAGTGTAGTAGAATGGACCTTGCCTAAGAATAATGGTAGAAATGCTACCTTGTGTCCTCTCAGACCTACTGAGTCACATCTGCAGGTAAGCAAGAACCCAAGGAGAATGGCATGCCTAATAAAGTCTGAGAAGCACCACCAGAAGAGTCATGCACAACATTTTCAGGAGCCAGAAAGAGAACTGACCACTCAGTAATGCTGACCTAGAAGGGCTGTGTCCATTCAGCAGCTGTGACAGTGCTGCTTGAGAAGCTATAAGTCACACTGACCATCTCTGATGCACAGCAAGCAACGGCTGTTATTTAGTCTACCAGGAATTTTGACAGGCTGCTTCCTGGAGTAGGTGCTACGCAACCTAACCCACATGGACAGATTTCAGTCCTTGAGACGTTGTGTTAAATTTAAAGAGAATATGAGCATAATACAAACTGAAAGTCTTAATTTTGCTGAGAACAACACTTAGGGAATGCCTCTTCTTGGTATTTGTCTTTTCTGTTAAATCATGGGGATCACTCTAGATATTTACCCAGGGAGTACAAAAACAGTAATTCAAAGGGAGATCTGCACACCCATCTTCACTGCAGCACCATTTATATCAGCTAAGTTGTGCAAACAGCCCAAGTGCTAGGGACACAGGTGGATTAAGATGTGGTAGATATCACTCAATGGATTATCACTCAGCTATTGAGAAAAAAAAATTCTTTTTGCCATCTGTGACAATAAGGATGGATCTGGAGGGTCCAATATAGCTGCTTTAAAAATCAATTTCAGGCCCTCCCTGGTAGCGCAGCAGGTTAAAGCACAGTACTAAGAAGCTTAAGCCACTTCCGCATGAGTTCGATCCCCGCCTGCCCTGGAGGAGATCCAGACCTCTCCTGATCCGCCCGCTGCTCCTCTCAGCAGTGTATTTCATTGATCTTCCTGTTCTGCTCCCCGTTCTGTCTCTGGTGAAGCCTCTCACGCTCTGCATCTCTGGCCTGTACCCCAGTTCTATATGAATAAATAAATAAATCTTAAAAAAATCTATTTCAATCTAATAATTCATTGCCTGAAAGAGTTGGCATTTGATGGTAGGCTCAGTCACCTATATCTTTTCATTAGGCTGCTGGGAAGGGAGCAGGAAGATGAAGCAGCAGCAGTACTATGAAGGCCTTGATCTAGGGAAAACACAGAAGGAAAAGGCAGCCTCAAACCTGAAGATGCCTGTTGGGTTGGATCCATACTATTTGGCCAAGTCATGTTATAGAAAGTAACTTCTCAGAATGGATTCAATCCTAAGGATTTAACTGCTTTTTCATATAGAAAATCATTATGAATCAGAGGCAACAAGCATGGGTAGCTGTTAAGACATGCCAGGTATGTTTAAGCTACTGAAAGTGGTAAATGTTTGGCCTGGAAGTCATCACTCACCCTTTGTGTACTGCAATATCCTTTCCACCAAGACAGGATATTTTGTGATGCGCTGAGTGACCAGAAGAATACACTCTGGAATTCCTCGGCGTCGAGCCAAAAGATTGCTGTTTCGGAGCTTAAAATATACACAAACATTGTTACATACACAAACTATCATTTTAGGTGTTGAGCTAATAACACAAAAACCTATAATAGCAGCATTTACTGAGAACTAACATTAAGATAGAAAAAATCATTAATTCAAACTTGATGCAACTGTCATTAAATGATATCCCTTGACATTCACTTCAATAATCCAACTCTAAGATTACAGGTTACACTCATGCATTAGTAATTCATTCCAAAAGTGAGCAAGTTCTAAGATATATAAGCACTAAGATTCACGAATAGCTAAAGTTCGAAAATACTCAGATATCACAGATATTGAATATATTTTTTCAGTTAACTCTTTTTCCAACAGGTATTTCTCTACATTTGTTGTTACTCATCACAGCATTTAGAGATTAAAGGTTTCATTAATTAGGACATTTTTCTAAAACTTTGAAATATGACCAGTTTTCCAATTCTCAAGACACACGTATGACATAAAAGTGGGCATAATTTAGTAGCATTCTTAAAGTGGTAGGTACAACTTAGAACTCATGACACTGAACAATTTTAAGAAACAATTTCTTAAATAAATTGGAAACAAAATAGAAAAAAGGAAAGAGCATTCAAATAAAAAGAGAGTTAAAAGATATAACCCTCTATGTATTTGTGAACTGTGGTCAGATCCTGATTCAAGCAATCCAATATTGATGAGAGAATTGTGGAAATTTGAGTACTGGCCAGCTGTCTGAAGATGTTAAAAAAAAACTACTGTTGCTTTAAGGGGAATAACATCTTTGCATTTTTAAAAAGAAATATTCTTGAAAGATACACAGTATATATGAGACATTATGTGCCATAGGTTTGCTTCAAACTGATCCAGTGAGGGAGGGGGAGGTCTGACTTTTATTTTCACTATGGTTCTTCTGATTTATAACTTGTTAGAGCATGCAAAAACTTCCCAGGGTATTACAAAGATGCTCAGAAGCTGGGAGGATATGACTTCATAAGACACAAAAGGAAATAATTGGGGAGAAATATTTCAATGACACAGAAAAGCAAACTCCCCATCTTTGCCCCAATTTGCTTCTTTCCTTCTCCTCCCCCTTTCAGGGGGGAAAAAAGCCATGTACACATGAAACTTGTTTAGATACGCTAAGAAACAAATATGAGCTATTTTTCCATGTTAGTTTACCACTTTCTGATAAAGTTTTAAAATACTGACCTTAATAAAATTTTGAAATTTTTTATTTTGCTGAAGTTCTTTAAAGAGGCTGACTGCTTCTTTATGGTGGCTACAGAATTCTCCATATATTTTCTTCATTTTATTTGCATTTTCTTCTGAAAACTGAGAAGAAAACATTTCAATGATGGTTTATAAATTTAATCAGCTCTAATCACTGTACAGAACATGCAATTTTCACATATTTCAACTTGTTCTGTGCAAATAAAGGATAAACATAGTAGAATTTCTAGACAAAATCGCCTCTCTCCCACCAGATACTTTCTAAATTGAAATAAGAGGTAAACATCCACCAAATGGGACGGTATTGGGCTATTTTAAGGATCAAATTATCTAATTAAAAAATACTTGTTACCGGCCCTCCCTGGTGGCGCAGCGGGTTAAAGCACAGCACTGAGAAGCTAAAGCCACTTCCACATGAGTTCGATTTCCGCCTGTCCCGGAGGTGACCACATGGTGTGGCAGACCTCTCCTGACCCGCCCGCTGCTCCCCTCAGCAGTGTACTTCGTCAATCTGCCTGTTCTGCTCCTCTCTCTGTCTCTGGTGAATCCTCTCACCCTTCACATCTCTGGCCTGTACTCCAGTTCCATATGAATAAATAAATAAATCTTTAAAAAAAAATTTAAAAAAAAATACTTGTTACCTTCATTTTCTTGTGTTTCTGTAACTTTCTCATTTCAATGTATAGTGTCAATACTTTTCTAGATGAAGGAAGGGCATACAGCAACTCTTAGCCATCCCCGGGAAAGTGCGCTCTCCCAACATCAAGCATTGACTAACTGTTCATATCTATCACGGAGTCCACGGTTGGGAATTTGATTTTAGTCAGTACATTGCAATTGGGGAAAAAAGGTAGCTTATCATTAACCAAGATGAAAGACAAAAAGTTAATCATCAGAATGTCCATTTATTAACTGATGAGAAGAAATAAACATGTGGGCTGCTGGATATTTCAATAAGGCTGACCTATAAAAAAAATCAACATGGGAACCAATGTAGCATCATAAGGCACTGAGCTCTCCCTGGTGGAGTAACGGGTCAGGACACAGCACTGCAAGCTGGCCACAGCCACCTGAATGTGAGTTAGATTCCTGGGCCCCGGAGGAAAACCACATGGCGCAGATCCCTCCAGACCTGCCCACTGCTCCCCTCAGCAGTGTACTCCATCAGTCAGCCTGTTCTGCTCCCCACTCTGTCTCTGGTGAATCCTCTCACCTCCCCTGCACCTCTGGCCGGTACCCCAGTTCTAGATACATAAATAAATAAATCTTTAAAAAAAAAGTCAACATTGCAAGTTATTATAAGTAAAATAAACCACAATATCACTATACATTTCTCAAACTAGCTAAAATAAAAAGCAACAATATCAATTGTTAGTGAAGATGAAGAGGAACTGCGCAAGTTGCGCATTATTGAAGGTAATGTAAAGTGGTACTCAGGAAAACAGCTGGCAGTTTCGACGACTATAAAACCCATAATTACACTCCCAGGTATTTATACCAGAGTAATAAAAACTTAAATTTGCACAAAAATCTGTACATGTGTTTATTTATAGCAGCTTCATTTTTAATCACCAAAAATTATAAACAACAAAAGCTAAAACATCCTCTAAAAAATGGATGATCAAACAAACTACATACAGTTATGCCATGGAATACTACTCTACCATAAGAAGGAATGAACTATTAATATCCATAACCACCTAGATGATACTTGGGGAATGATGCAGAGTGAAAAATGTCAACCAGAAAAGATTGCATACTGTGTCCACACTCCATGTAACATGTATATAATTTTTATGTAGTGACAAAATCATAGAATTAGAGGACAGATTAGTAGTTGCCAATGATTAAGGATGAGGTAGGGGGAAGAGGAGGGTATGGGTATGAAATGATCAAGTAGGGAAAACTCATGATGTTGGAAATATTCCATATCTTGACTGTATTAGTGTTTGTGGTAGTAGTTTTGTACTTGAATTTTTCAAGATGTTGTTATTAAGGAAAAATATCATTTTAAAAATCTAGTATTTTTTTAAGATTTATTTATTTATTCATACAGAACTGGGGTACAAGCCAGAGGTGCAGGGGCAGTGAGAGACTTCACCAGAGACAGAGTGGGGAGCAGAACAGGAGATCAACGAAGTATACTGGTGAGGGGAGCAGTGGGCAGGTCAGGAGAGGTCTGCCGGCCCCATGTGGTCACCTCTGGGGCCAGGGATCGAACTCACACTGAAGCAGCTTGCAGTGCTGCGTCCTAACCCATTGTGCCACCAGGGAGGGCTAGTATCTAGTATTTTTTAATCGACATTTTGAAATCCCAGACTTCACTACAGATTTATCAAAGTGGCATATTTGGGGTTGGATAAAGGCTTCCTCGTTGCTTACAAGCTTCAGGAGACATGTAGCTGAAGTGGAGAACTACTGCTTTATACTGACCATATTCCTTGTGTTCACAATTCTCACCCACATGAAAAATTTCCACATACTAAATTAACATCGTACTTTTAGTCTAGTCTCCTGAGAGCATGTGGAGTCTCTGTGACTAGACTGTGGGGTTTCCCCACTCTCACACATCCTTAAGCAGTCTGTTTGTTCCAACAGAGACACACACCCATATCCATTGTCCGGGTTTTACTAATTCATTCCTCAGGAAGCAATTTTGTTTACACAGCATGAGGGGGACACCTTGCCATATTTACCCACTCTGTAAGGTCAATAATAGGAACACAAAGACAGAATTAAATCCTTTTCTCTTCATAACAAGGAGCTTTCCACAAAGGAAAACTGTGCTTCATCCAGAGACAAAGCTCACCCTGTGTGATAGCCAATGTTCCAGACCCTTTAAGCCCTGCTTTCTTCCACAGAAACTAAGTAAAAAGAGCTGGTAGAAGTGTGTTTTGTTTTTTTTTTACTTAAGAATGAACATGTAAAAAGTAAAAGAAGATGAACATGTTCTGAAGAATTAGAATTAAAATTCTTGACTCAAGAAAAGAGATGCAAATAACTTCAGATGACAAAATAATCTTGTATTTCATTTCTTAATGCACTCAGATTCAAGATCGCTGAGACACATTTAGACATTTCTATCCAAACTCTCTTGAAGCATACTCTATAGTCTCTTTACTTGCCACTACATGTGCCAGGGGAATATTGAGGTCAGGTAGGTCTAGGACTTTAAGGATAATCTGCAAAACAGAAAACTCCAGTTAGAATCTGTTACTACTAATTTTTTGACAGATTCTGACAGAGTCAACATGTTGAATAACATGCAGAAGTAACTACTGGGCAACTAAGCTACTAAGTGGGTTTTTTTGTTGTTGTTATTTGTTTTGTGTATTAAAATGTTTGTATTTAAACATATTTATAGTAAAGAATTTAATTCTTCCATTTTAATAGACAGTCTAAGTTCCTTTACTACATGTTATATGATGAAACTCTTTAAAGTTACTACTTTGCAGAGGTCATTTTGGCAACTAGAGATGGATCTCTTGCCTCTCCTCAGTGCCATAAGCAGAAATATGGCATTCACCTGAATTCCTGATCCTTCTGCTTCCCAAGTGACCCATTCATTCAACAGATATTTACTGTGTCAAGCTCCTTTCTGGGTGCTGAAATACCAAGTGGAAAAGAGCCTCACAGGGAAGGACTTACAGACTGGAGATGATAAAAATCTTGCCCAGAATGTCACTATTGTCTCAAGGTATTATATTCTTAACTCATTTTTGAAAGAGCAAATCTTAGTTATAGCACTTAAGAGATGGATGAACTTAAAAAATTCATTACATTCTCTGTGCCTTAGTTTTTGTAACTATACAGTGGGGGAAATGAATAATGACTTCACAGTGTTGTAAAGGTTGAAAGAGGGGACTTACATGAGAGCATCCTAAATGTGCCAATAAATCATATCATTTAACTTGCCTGTTAGTATTTTTTTTTTTCATGGAAAACCCTTTTCAAAGAGGGCAGTGGGTCAATACAACTTGTCAAGAATAAGCACTGTTGCTTTTTAATTAGGAAGAGGATCACCAGCCCATTATCACTGCTTCAAGCATTTCAAGCACCTAAAAAGTGCCTCCTTTTACCAAATGTGCTTGTCTTATGCCCCAGACAATTACTCTAGGATATTAATAATAGATCTGCCTCATTCACCCAAAGATGAGCTAGTGTTTGTCCTGGGGACACAGGTGAGACATCACAAGCCCACCAAGAGCCATGTCTTTAGACAGCCATCACAGCAAGGTGCCTGAGGAAACATTCACAGGTGTGACTTTCAGCAGAGACCATGCAGGGCCAGCAGTCATCCAGCCTAACCCTGAGATACACAGAGTCGTCACTGGCTGTTAAACTATCTTAGACCTCACTCAGTCCAAGCAACACTCAATGAAAGAAAATCAATCACAAACATCTGTCAATAACTGTAAGGATATCAATTCCAGTTTTCCACGGGTTTTAACCCTGAAGTGTCTGTCATCCTTTGACATTGGTTGTGATGTTAGAAGAGGAAGGTTAGGACCTTACCTGTTGTACTAATATATCTCCAATTCGATTGATGATGAAGTTTCTGTCACTGCCAGCACAGGATTCCTGCCTTCGTTCTTTCATGCTATAAAAGAAATGCCGATGGATTTCAAGTAACTCATCTAAACAGGGAAAGATTTTATCCACAGTGCTGTGGTCAAGCTGCAGCTCCTCCTTCATCCCTTTCCTGAAGATCTCAGACATGATGAACAGGGTCTGGATGTGATGCAGTTCTGTTTGCATTAGTTCTGAAACAAGTGAGCAAAAACAATGTTAAACAAAAACTATAATCCCAGCCCTCCCTGGTGGTGCAGCAGATTAAAGCACAGCACTAAGAAGCTAAAGCCACTTCAGCATGAGTTCAATCCCCAGCCAGGGAGGTGACCCACATGGCGCGACAGACCTCTCCTAATCCGCCTGCTGCTCCCCTCAGCAGTGTACTTCATCAGTTGGCCTGTTCTGCTCTCCACTCTGTCTCTGGTGAATCCTCTCACCACCCCACATCTCCGGCCTATACCCCAGTTCTGTATGCATAAATAAAACTTAAAAAATCCCTAACCAACCTGAGGGGAGAAATCAAATACTGTCCGAAAATTTAACTATAAAAGAAAAAAAGTACTTCATCTAAAATAAACTTTAAAAAAAAAACTACCCATATTAACCTAAGTTAGCTGCTAAATATGATGTGCTACACAAATAAAAAAGGAGGAATGTTTAGGAATAGAATAGGCTTCCACTGTAAAAGTCAGCTATGATTAAAAGGTTAATGTAAGTGCAAAATTCAACTATTTTCTTTTTTCCAGCAACTACAAGAGAATACATATCATTTCAAAATATAAGAATCTAGTGTATGGGTAGCTGATATAACTAATTAGGTACCTTCAGGTCTTAATATCCCCTGAATGCTTTATAAAATGTAATTTAATTTGCCTGTTTTCATTCTCTTTACCTTAAACTTGTGTGTGTGTGTGTGTGTGTGTGTGTTGAGTAGGAGGCACAATTAATTTGATGGATTAAATTAATATAATAAAGTTCCTTAAAATACACAATGGGCCTTCTCTATTACTGAAACTGTCATCAAAATTCCAGTTTTTTCAGGGGAAAATAATACATCGTGACAAGGCATATAACCAAGAGTGTGGGGGAAAAAAACCTACATGATGGCAGAAAATATTTATAAATCACATATAAGGAACCTATAGGCAGAAAATAGAAAGAAAGCTTATAATAAATATTTTCATAAATCACAAATACAGGCAAAAGATTTGAATAGCCATTTCAGCAGAGATACACAAATGGCCCATAAGCACATGAAAAGTCGCTCAGCATCATTAGCCATCAGGGAAAGACAAAGTAAAACCAAACGAAACACTCACACACAGCAGGATCACTGTTGCAAAAAAGACAAACAAGTGTTGGTGAGATGCATTTCTAGTAAGGAATATAAAATGACAACTGCTTTGAAAACCAATGTGGCAATTCCTCAAAAGGTTAACTACAAAGTTATCAGATAACACAGAAAGTAGAAAGTTATCAGTCCATTAACTGATTTATTAGATGAATAAAAGGTGGAATGTATATAAAGAAATGTTAGGTAGCCATAAAAAGGAATACAGCATTGATATAACATGGGCGAACTTTGAATTATCATGCTCAGTGGGAGAAACCAGTCACAGCTGACTACTTTATAATACCATTTATGCAAGATGTCCAGGATAGGCGAAGCCATAGGAAAGAAACTAGTGGTTGCTGGGAGTTGGTGGACGGGGAAAATGGAAAGTGACTGCTAAAGCAGACTGGGTTTCTTTCTGGAATTATTAAAATTGCTCGGGAATTAGACAGTGGTTGAGGGTTGTGCAAAGATGTGAACATACTAAAATCCACTTCATTGTACACTGTAAAGTGGTGGACTTTATGGAGTGTGAATTATATCTCAAATTTTTAAATATATCCTGAGAGAAAATAATAAATCAGATTAGCACTTTCAAATTCACGTTTTGATCTCATGCCACTGAATATAACCAAATTTAAATGTAGTGATGCTTGCTTTATTATCATAAATAAAAATCTTTTATTGGGAGCTCACTTTTTTATTGTTATTCCCTATCATTTTTTTTTAAAGATTTATTTATTTGTGCATACAGAACTGGGGCACAGGCCAGAGGTGCAGGGGCGGTGAGAGGATTCACCAGAGACAGAGTGGGGAGAAGAACAGGCAGATTAACGAAGTACACTGCTGAGGGGAGCAGAGGGTGGGTCAGGAGAGGTCTGCCATGCCATGTGGTCACCTCAGGGGTGGGCGGGGAGCGAACTCATACTGAAGTGGCTTTAGCTTCTTAGTGCTGTGCTTTAACCGGCTGCGCCACCAGGGAGGGCTCCCTATCATGTTTTTAATGCCTACTCTGTCCCTAAGCAGTTATCAACATCATTTCATTCAGTCCTTTAATCTGTTTGGCCATTATGAACCACCCCCACCCTCCAAACAGAAAGTTCTATATCTTTAAAAGACAGATAACAAAGAAGAGGAGGTTTTTTTTTTTAATAGAACTAAAGACTATGCTGTGAACAAGACATAATTGTTTATCCCAAATAGGCCGGAAGATTTTTACCAATTTATGAAATGAAGAGGTAAATGAAGAAACATTACAGAAGAGCACCAATTGCCTGAGCTACATTTACAGGGACAGCGTCTCCCTTTCCAAATCAACGTCCATGACCCAGCCTGGCAGCACTCTCACGCCTGACCTGTCCTACACAGTGACCACCCGGCACAGGTGATACATGGTCCTCACCACCACGGGACTTTTCAGTCCAGTCTTCACACGCAGGACTTGTGAGGAGAGCAATTGTTGTCATACCCAGGGATCTTCTTGGAACCACCACTGAGTATCTGCTTTATACTTGAATATGTTTTAAATGCCATTTTTTCCTAACTGGTCTACACTTTAACTTCCTCTAGTTCCGACTGCCTTTACCACAAATAGCACGTAGCAGGAAGACTTCTCCAGAGCTGCACCCCATGCTCATCAGGCACTTCTTAGGTTCCTGTATATACAGTAGCCCCAAACACTCTACATTAAGATGCATGAAAATTCACTGTGATTCTTATAATAGAAGAGGTCAAAGAATATAGGCCATACATAAGTAAACATAAAAAGGGTATGAGAAATAAAATTTTCTTAGGACTAAATATACACCATGCCTCATTCAAACCTCACTACATTTGAAGCCTGAGTGTCAATGTCCCCATTTCACAGATGGAGAAACTGAGTTAAAAGTGAGTTAAGTAACCTGAAATCAAGCAATTAGACAATAATAGAGCTGAGATTTGAAACCAGGTCTGTGTGGTTCAAATGGCATGCTCCTTTCTCTACACTACACTATTTTGGCTAAAAGTGCATACTGGAAATACTTACCAAAAATGACATCCTGTCTTTTGATGACATCCTTCTCCTGCCTACTGCAAAATGAAGGGTCCACCACAAGACTCCAAGATTCTGCTTCAAACTCCTGGGCATCACTGCTGAGGTCACTCCACAGAGAAGAATCCACAACATCTAATTTGTGTTTAGAAAAAAATAAAAGGCAGGAGTGGAATAACACGTCATACAAACAGACTGTCACATACAACCAGGCTGACAGACACATCACACTAAATAAACCTGCTACAAACATAGCAACAATAAAGACAAAATATCATTGATGTGGAGTCAAAATACCTAAAAAGCAAACTTGTAAAATGTCCCAAGTAGGACAGGACCAGGAAAACAAAACACCAGGTATTAAACAGTAATTCCATAGATGCAAAAATACAAAAAAAAAAAAAAAAAGCATTTGAAGATTCTTGTGGTTGTGTGTTTTGACTTGCTCTATTTCAGTTTTATTTCTGGTAACCCTCAGAGTGCATAACATGCTTGCAGAATCTGGAGACAGTGATTTCTTTTGCCCCAGGTTATTATGGACAGTTTACATAAATCTAAATTTTCTACTTGCCCACTTGATTTGCTGTTTATCTGGTTTGTTGTCTTTAATGTAAACATGAAGCAGTGTCTAAGAACTCAGGTCACATGTGAGCACAGTTTTCTGATGGAATTTGACAACACACAAATACACACATTCTCTCTCATCAGGAAAACTACATATTATTTGTAACAAATGGTACTTCTTAAGGAGACCCCAATACAAAGGAGTAAATATGACAGTGGATTTTAAAACTTAAGCTTAAAATTAATGAAACAGATTCCTGGGACAGAGTCCACTCATTTCTCCTGCCACTCCTCATCTTTCATTTGGCTTTCCTTTATTTACAGATACAGCCTGGATACATGAGCAATCCGAAGATTAAGTGTCATCCCGCAAAACATGCTTTAAAAAAATCCTTTATTCCTCTTAACGTAGAAAAGGTAGAAGCGGATAAATATCTAAGAGATCCAGGCAAGACCAACCTCAACAACAGTACATCTTTGTAATATTCTATCTTATTCCAGGTCTAACTATACAAATTCTTTCAAAGAATAACAAGCACACAAGGTATTCTGTTCTCTCCATTAGATTCACGACATATTCCTTTACTCATTTTAAAAATGAGTATTTCTTTGGTCACTGTCTGAAAGTCTGTTACCAGGTTAAATGTTGATTGCTGTTGTTTTTACAAGTGGAATTTCTATCAAAAAAAACCAGAATTCTTTTTAAAAGACAAAATACTAAGATTCACTTTTATACCTTTAGAAAATAGTCTTTCTGGCAAGTGCTCAGATGCGCACAGGAACAAAAGTAAGTGCATATGCATTTGCTCCTCACCTTCCATTGAGAAAGACTCCGTGGAGGGAGAGGAGCCCATCGACTGTAACAGCTCATCGGAATGAGACCTGCTCCTCCAGTTGTTTGTGTCACTCTCAGACTCCACAGACATCCCAGACCTCCTGAAGCTGGAGGGATGGAAAAGGGGAGGAGGGAGAAGAGTTAGCCCCAGCAGTGGCTCTGAGATGTGGAGCTGGAAAACCGCCCGCACCTTACCTTTCCAAGGTGGTACCTGGAACGCTTCTGGACATGGGAGGGACCAGGCCCGCAGATTCCTTCCTCCCAGCCGGTAATCCAATGGGCATGGAAGAAGAAGGGTGCAGGGAGATACCAGCCGGTGGGACCTCTCTAAATGAAGAATCTGGAACTCAGAGTGGAGGCTTCATGCAGTTTTCATAGAGGGTAGCAATCACCAGTACAGGTGGTCACTTCAGAGCCAGAGAGCTAGGCACCTGGATGCTGTAACATGTCGCATGCCCAACCTTGAAACCAGTCTCCCTGCCACATCCCAACACCTGCTGCAAATGGCCCTCCCATTTCACACACTCCTGCTCCCCATGCTGCAGGCCTGCTTCAGCATCTCCACTTGGAGATTGGGCATCTGGGATTACACAAACAAACAAGAAAATGGAATGGGGAAACACTGGAACAGCTTTCCCATAAATCTGTGTTTGCACTCGTTGGAGCCAGCTTTAAATAGATGCAAGGTGTTATTAGCACTATTACTAGTATGCAGATTGTGTACATAAACAAGCACACACACACAGAGATCATGGATTGGAATGATGTGGGGAGTCTGTTTTGAGGGCTTAAGAATTTCAGGTAAAAGAAATTTATAAGCCAAACTAGGCTGTTCTAGCACATGGACTGAAAATGAAATGGTGCTTGAACATATTTCTGGTCAGTTCTAAAATGTTACAGGCATACATGCATTGATGTTTGATAGATACCATAAATGACACTCAGAAAATATTTCAATGTCATAATATTATAGATGTAGTATATATCTTCTCAGTCAAGCCAGAGGGGGGAGAAATATTTATAAAGACCCCCAGGGCACGGGGGGGAGGGTTACAAAAATATGATTTACTTTTATTCTCATGACTCTCAAGGAAAGAGAAAGAATAGATAGTTATTTTACCAATTCTAAGATACTTTTTATTTCATGCTAAGCTTATGAATTGAGATATATCTCATTACAAAGGTCAAAGGAACTTCTGGGGCCAAGGCTGGGAAGTAAATGATGTAACAGTTGTTACTGCCTGCACTCAGCTTTGTGTAATATCACACCAATCATGTCACCAATCATGTCACCAGGAATTTGCCAACCTCATTGTTTTCTGACTCAAGTGACTTTTAAAACACTGGTCACACTTAGTTATAGCATTGAAATGAAAAGTGACCATCAGAAATGTGTAATTCAAGTTTAAGCACATGCAAAAAAACCCCAATACACCTTGAAACTGTAGTCATGCTAAAGGAGCTGTTGTAATCACAGCCTCAGGTCAAGCTCATGAAAGGCACCAGGGAGCTATGACATTGGAGAATGGGGTCTTTGAAGCATCTGTAGATCCCAAACCTGAGTTGTTTTTCCCCCAACCTTGTGATTCTTAAGAAGCATGTGGTATATATTTGTATGGATAAGTAAATGCTACTGCTAGGAAAACATACTATTGTGTGAATTTCATGTACTTCCTTCCCCCCCCCCCACCATAGGGTTATTATTAAATCACTGGTGCATATTCACTACATCCATTACAGCTTAGACTGGAGACACACCCAACCTCCTTCCATGTAATCCTCCTATGTAAAAATGCCATAGACTACAGAGCTTAACGGCTATTAGGCTGGCAGAAAAGCATATGCCATTCCGCACCTCTTTGTGTAACTGGAAATTATGCCAAGCATATGTTATGAAAGAAAAACATAACTCAGCCAATGAGAAAACAAAAGGAGTGGGTATTTTGTAATGGAAAATTGTGTGGTATGTACAAAACTGAAAAAACTGTCGCTTTCCACATCACTTACTTCCAAGGATGGTCTGCGGCTTGTTCTTGTTATACTTCTCTTGGAATTTCTGGTAAAGAACATTAGAAATACATAAAGTAAGATCAAAGCACCACTGGACTATACGAATGTCCACACAGTGACACAGACAGCACCTATCAATGTCATTGTTACTGTATTTCAAAAAAGGAATTCAAAGCAAAAAATATTAAATACACCAAGGAGAAAAACACTATGACAGTAAGACACACATGTCATAGTGAAGATGAACGTGGATCTCCCAAATATCCAGCTTTATTAAAAGCCTCAGGAGAGGCCCTCCCTCGTGCACAGCAGGTTAAAGCACAGCACTAAGAAGCTAAAGCCACTTCTGCATGAGTTCGATCCCAACCCGGAGTTGACCCACATGGCACAGCAGACCTCTCCTGACCCGCCCTCTGCTCCCCTCAGCAGTGTGCTTCATCAGTTGGCCTGTTCTGCTCCCCACTCTGTCTCTGGTGAAGCCTCTCACTGCCCCTGCACCTCTGGCTTGTAACCCAGCTCTGTAAGCATAAATAAATGAATCTTAAAAAAAAAAAAAAAAAAGCCTCAGGGGAATCAGAAATCTCCAGGTCTCGTGTCCAGGCCCAGGCTAAAAGGGAGACACCCATCTTTCTTCTCCTTTTCTTGCTAAGTCTGACTATTCCTCTTGCCTCAGGACACTGGTACGTCCGTCAGGCATGGAAACATCACCCTTGACTCTGCTGACACATCGTGTGTTGACTCCAAGCTACCCACTGAGAAGAAATCATGCTATCACATGACATGACTATAGAGTGGGAAAGAAAGGAAGGGAATGTCTCTCGCTACTCAAACTGCTCCCAATGCATTATTCTTCTCTAGGCCAGCGGACCTCACACTGTGACCCCAGCAGCATCACAGGATGACTACACATGTCAAGCATATGCTATTATTTTATCTCTCGATAACTACTTTAGACATAAATCCAGATCATTCAAGTGAAAACCTTAGGTAATAATGAGAAGCAACCAGCTAGATACAAACACATGGTCTTTGCAAGTGACTGATATATTACCTTGGTACATGGAGGTGCAGTCTCTTTACAGCCCTTATGTACATTTGCATTACAGTCTGAAAAAAAAAGGAAAAAGATAATATCTATCTTACTTGAGTGAATCTGAAATGAGTAAGATGACATAGCATGCTTCTACTAGTCAGTAAAAAATAATACACTAACATTAAATATGTTTAGAAAATATAAAAATATTTGCATCATAGGTAACAGCACACTGTTAATATTTTAGTTTCCCTGGAGTGACTTCTCCCATTGAGGGGAAGGTTTTGTCAACTATGAAACCTGGAACTATGCATGGCCTACATTTCTGCATCTACCTGAGAATTCACTACTATGTGAATCCCTACATAGTAAGGGATTTCTGACATCTGATTGGTAGCAACTGACAAGATGCCCGTGGAGATGGAAAGAGAGAACAAATTTACAAAAGCACTGGAAAAAAGTGCTGTCCAAAAACGTCCCACCTGACAGCAGTTCCTACTAACTAGCGAGCCAAACTAGAAGTTCACAGCTTGCCTTATGTTTCACTTCATGTACCTAAGTGGCTCTCTTCAATGAAAGAAAGAAAGGGAGTATTTTGGGCTTGCCCCTGCTGCGCACTGGCTCAGGGACCCATGGGGTCTTCATGGAAAGCTGCTTCACTTCTGGGTTATATCTTTGCCGGAATGCTCTCATGTCACCCACCGTTGAGTCCCTGTCCATCCAGCCCCACACAGTCTATGTAGGTGGAGGAGCCTGAGACTTATCAGAAACTTCTTAAGAAGGAATCCTTCCATGGGGAGAAGGAACTATTCAGGTCCATCAAAGACACACTGGAAAAGTGCCCTGGGAACAACCATGCCCATCACAGGTGCATGGAGGCATTTAGCAACTCCTCACGGGTCAATGAGCAGAGCCCAGGCTGATCTATGCAAGGGGCCTGTGGCACACATGAAAATCAGTGCTCTTCTCACTCCAGAACAAAAAAGAAGGAAAGGGGAAAAGCAAAGGCTATGAGATATCACAGAACAAAGTTGTACTCACAGGAAGAGGGAGTCACTGAATATTAAATTTAGATATTTCAAATGCGTTCTCTAGAAGAGAAAGAAAACAGACATGAAATGGGACCCAGAGGCCACGAAGGCAGAACAGGATGAGACAACAGGCCAGGGGATAAGTGGAAAGTGGAGCTTTGTGAGATGAGAGACCTGCAAGGAAGGCAAAGGGAGCAAGAGAAGAAGAAAAATGAAATGAGAAGAACGGAGGTGACAAAGATATCAAAGCAGCACTGTGAAATTAAACTTGAAAGATCCTCTCCAGAACATGGGGGAAAGAAGAGTGTAATTATGAAAGAGAAAATGTCATGCAAAGAGACAGCAGAGATCACACCTCTCCAAGGGGAGGGGTGGGGAATTAGGTCAGAAGCATTAGTCAAAGTTACAGCTGACAAAAACTTTTACAAAACTAAAAAAGAACCAAAAAGAGCAAATCAAATGATCTCATCTTTCTCTAGGAAAGATTATTAAATGACACCCGTTCTATAGAAATATTCAGACAACATTCTTATGAGGAAGAAACTAGAAAGTCCTCATGCATCTAGGCAGAAAAAGCAGGTTGTCGGAGAAGGAATAAGGTGAGGCAGGCCCCTGTGCTCTCCTATTACAAAACTGAAGATCCACACATAATGGACCCGTGCTGAGGGTGGAAAGGTTTTGACCTAAGAAATTATTTAACTGGTAAGTGGAATCAGTGAGAAAGACAAAGACCACTACCAGATGATTTCACACATATGTGGAATATAGAGAAACAAAGAGACTGGCCAATGTAACCAAAACAAACCCTAGAAATGTGACTAAAAATTTGAGGGGATGTGGAGGGGGCTCAGTGCTCTGTGAAGCTATGGCTACCTTGCTGTTCAGTGAGGGGTGGTGACATACAGCTGAAGAGTACACCCTAAAGAGTACAGTATTACAAACTGATGTTACTGCAATAAAAGTTACAAAAATTAATAAGTAAAATTTAAAGAAAGTATTTAGCTAGGTAAATTGTTTTTCTTGTATGGAAAAAAAAAACAATTATACTCTTAAAGCCACAAGGAATTTAGTTAGAGATTTCACAAGACAGGTTTTAGAACAGATCAGCCTGATAACCATCTTGAAAAAGTAATTACCTGAAATCCTATTCTAGCTTATAAAGAGCAGAAGCAAAATTGGGAGTTCAAGAATGGATCAGATTTTGCAAGGAATTTGCAAGAAGGAAATTTCAAGTAAGATAGACAAAGACTGAATATAAATCTCAAATTATTCTTGAAATAGAAAGTCATCCTTAGGTTAAACATAGAATATAAAAACAATTAAATAGTGAATTCATTATACTAATAAAAGGTGGGGAGGGGTTAAGATGAGAGAAATAAAAGAACAATTATAAGTCTCACATCTTAGTGTCCTTAGTAGTAGATATTAAAAGAGAATATCTTGCCAAATTCTTAGAGAAGACAGAAGCAAAGACATAAATATTTTCTAACAAAGTAAGGCTGACATCAAGGAAAGTAGCAAAGAACTATAAAAGATAGCTGATAGCCATAAAGTTCAATGTAAAGAAGAAAAAATTCTCATTATAAAACAAGGTCTCTTAGTTATGTTACAGACTATATATCACTAAATTAAAAACATGCATCCCAAATCAAAAACACAGAAATGAGGGAAATAAAAAAGAAGGGAAAGCAAAGGGAATACTAATTTAGAAAAAAAAAATAAAAAGTAAAATTCAGTGCAAAAAAATTTGGTAGCATTAAAAAGATGATTTTATACTGATAAAAATCAAATCTATAGTGGAGCTATAATTTGTACACTTCTGGGCACTAAATAATGTAGCATCAAAATATAAATGTGGTATCTGTTTATAATCAAGGAGAATTTTATATCACTTTGTGGACAACTTCTAATAGGTTTTCCCAGGAAAAAAATGGATATCAGAATCTAAATTATTTAAATACTTTGTTTTATATCATGTTTTTGAGATTAGAAGTAGTAACCTTCATGATTAAAAACAAAAATGTAACCATGATATAAAATCATCAACCAACAGCAGTGGTTTATGTCATAGTCTCGTAACAATGTAAAAAAAAAAAACATTAAAAATCAAAGTTTAAATCCACAACACCTCCCTCCCCCAAAAACCTATAAACCCTAAAACTTCTGCAAAAATACTATGGGTTAAAGAGGAAATTAAATACATATTCAAAATTCTAGACTTTAACCCAAGGCCATAATCAACTGTGTGGATGTGACATGTGCAAAAGAATGCTTCTTGCTCCATTATAAACTGGGAAAAAATTGGGAAAAACTTAAATGCATAGTAAGGAATAATTAAACACAGTTAATATCATCATCAAGTTTAAAAGGCTGACTTTCTTATTATTAGAAAGGATTCCCTCAAAATAGCAGTAACTATTTTTCCTAGATAATACAATTTTGAATAGCTCTGAGTTTCTCCTTCAACCCTGCCCCTTCTATTAATCCTTTTGTATTAAATAATGACTTTTTAAAGCTAAATGTCTTGATATATTCTCAGCAATTCCCATCTTCCATGGCTATCCACTTGACTAACATAGTATAAACCAACATATTCTTCAGTACAAATACTGGATTTTCAGTGAGCTATGGCTTTCTATTAGTCCTTAACTGCACAGGACTGCCTGAAGGTCCAGCTTTGTGACAGATGCTGTAGGGGATACAAAAGAATCATGGTGGGATGGAAGTCTCCAAAGAAGCTAGTCTAGTCTGTACTTAAAAGAACTTACATATAATCCAATATTAAATGGAATAGGATAAACAGGTCATAAGCATCATGTGCAGGAATCTAGGGCAGAGTAGATTCCTCCAAAGCAGAAAAGAAATCCTGACCCATGAGAGAAGGGGAAACAAAGAGAGATCATTACAAGCAAAGGGACAGAGCCCAAAAACACATGCAATGGAGAAAATGCCAACAGGCCACAGAGGTCTCTGGTGGAGGTCATGGCTGAGCAGGAGCAGCCACAGGACTGGTCAGCAGGACAGGGCTGGGAGTCAAATGGCCCTCTGATAAGCTAGACTGAGCTCAGTAAACAAAATGAGAGCAGAGACCTTAAGTATCAGAGGGCTGATGATGGTGGTTTTATAAAGATTAATGTGGTGAGAGTATTCAGAATAGATTACAAATGAAAATACCAAAGGAGAAGGAACCCAGCACAATTTGCTCCCAGCAGTCCAGAATGCAGTGATGAGACCCTACTCAAGTGGTAACAGCAAGAATGGAAGTGAGTGAGGGAGCTAAAAGGGAAGAGCTTCAAATGCCCACAGACTGTGCCTGTACTGTTAACACAGCAGAGAAGACTACCTCTCACATGGGTATTTTGAGTCAGTTTTAGCCACTCCTTCTGGGAGACAGCCCAACACCTGGCTAAAGATATGGTCACTCCAAGCCAGAGTGCCTGGAACAGTTGGGTGAACACCTGTAGTTCCGTCATAATTTCAAAAGTGGCTGTAAAATGATATGGAGGTTCAGTCTCCTTAGGAAACTGGAAGTAAAGTAGAAAATGAAGGATAAAATCATGAATCTGGGAAGATGCTACATATAGTATTTTAGAACATAAGACCGGATGCCTGTACTTCTAAACAATAAAGAGGCAAAGAATAAATGCCCAAGAGCTGAGTTTAGAAGAAACTCAGTGAAGAATAAAGGAGACACTATAGGCAGTAAAACAAAGAATGGTGGGCAGAGGGAAAAGCATTCATGAAACCCAAGAACAGCAACACAAAAACCAGGAGCTCCATGAGTCCGTGCAAGGCCAACTTTCCAACACACTAGAAGGCGGCACCAAAGCAGAGCTTCTGTTAAGCAGTGAGACAGCCGCCTAATGCTATGGTTCATGAAAAAGCATCAGCGATGACATGAGGGCAGTGAATGGGGATCACTCAACTTGGGAGTTTGTCTTCCAATTAGTAGAGAGAAAGGTCTTGGATGAGGCTGGGGGTTCAATGGAAGGAATGCAGCCCCTGTGGCAAAAGGTGGGGCCATCTCTGATGAAACACCCCATCACACACGTACACACCCCACGGATCGTGGGCCCACCAGAGCCACCCTACAGCAAGACTGAGAGCAGGCATCTAGAGACAGAAAACAAAATCACCTCTGAACCGCTTGAGGCTTTTTCAGATCCCATAAAAGGAGGAAATCAAGAAAGTCCATTTCAAGCATGAAGCCAGCGCTGGCATCACCAAAAACAGTGTCACCAAAGACAACGGGATCCTTCGTCAAGGCCACATGAGGCCTGTACTTCTACCACACGCACAACTACTGATACAACATGGATGATTTTTAATCATTTTCTAGAAGTTTAATGAAGAAACTTACCCTGTTCTTCTCTCTGTGCTACCCTCCCACCCCCAAAATGCTTCCCTCATTCTGACAAGCAGCAAATACCACAGAATGTAGTTTACCTGCCTGGGGCTGAATTCTTTTGCTCTGAATTATTCTTTCACTTCATAAATATTTCTTAAGCCCCTACTGTGCCTGAGGCATTGCTCTAGGCACGGTGGATACAGCAGGGAATAAAGCCAACAGACAGAAATGCAGCCCTCAGAATTTAACTCTGCTAAAGGAGACAGGTCATAAAGTCCACACAGAAAACACACTCTTGGCACACTTGGTTCCATGGTCTTAACTACTATGCAGGAGAAAGGGGGCGGGGGGCAGAAGGAGTGAGCCGAGCGTAGGGTGGTCAGGAGGGCGCCAGCAGGTGCTATCAGAGCACCTGAGGAAGTGAGGGAGAGCCGTGTGGCCAGTGGAGGGACGAGAGTTGCAGGGCGAAGGCGCCTGTGTGGCATGGGATGCCTAGCAGGCACAAAGAACAGAAAATATGCCATAGTGATGGGAGGAAGAGGGAGAGAAGACAGGGCAGATCTTAGGCCTGGGAGCCATTGTGGGGGCTTTGGCCTTGTTTTGAGATGAAAGGAAGCCTGGGGAAATACGCCTTACCAGCTTCACTCTGGCTGGTGTCTTGATTACAGACTTTAGGGAGTAAACTTGCAAGAAATCAATTAGGAAGCTACTGGAATGGTGGCTTAACACCGGGGTCATGACAGTGGCAGGTATGAAGAGTGGCTGGTTGTCGCAGCATTTTCAAGACAGAGTCAAAAGAACTGCTGAGGGATTTAAATGTGAATGGTAAAAGTGAGACAGATAGAAATATGTCAAGATTTCTGGCATGATCCTCTGGTTGGAGCTGCTGTGACCTGCTGTGACCTGCTGGTTGGGCTGCAGAGCAGAGCCCCATTTTGGAGAGGGAACATCCGAGAAGCTGTGTGGATGCTTAGTGGCGGCGTCATGTAGGTAGAGAGGTGTATACACCAGGGCTTCTGGGAGACAATCACTAGTGGACAGAATGCACCCTCTAGCCATCAAGGTCACGGCTTGGTGGATCGACCCATTCAATCTTATGTGCTACACTAAACAAAGGCTTGCATGAATATGTCCACATGCAACCCCTGTCTGAGGAGGCAAAACACAATGACAGCACGAGGCTCAAGAACTTACTGGAGCACTGGAGTGATTCTTTTCCCAGGAGTGTTTTATCACAAACCAGACACTGTACAACTCCAGAGAACATTCCAGGGATGAACTGATGTCGACTCAGTTTCTCTTTGTCTTTGGCATCCTTGTTTTTTGTCTTCAGAGCAGCCGCAGCAACAAAGTGGGAGAAATGAGAAATACTGCAAGTCAGCTTCTTATAGAGGTCATGCGAACAATCTCTGTGATATAGTACCACCAAACAGACACCTCCTGGAAGTGGTACTACTGGAAGACTAGTTAGTTGTCTTATTTCTCAAACAACATGGACTATCCCATCAGAAATAGAAAGATTTTCAAATACCTGTGTATATAATCTAAGGTCAATGGCTTTCAGGGTAATCAGAGCTACTGAGAAACTAAAGCCAACACCATCTGCAGACAACAGGCGTGGATCCTTCCTTACCTTAGATTTATTCCGAGGACTAGTCATCCTATTCATGAGGAAGCTGAAAGTTCGGCTCACTTTGTATTTTTCAGAGTCTGCTTTGGCAGGTATGATGTATTTATCCCATTCTTCCTCCTGAATTCTACAAAAACAAACCTGTTATAATGCCTTCTAATATTTCAAGAGGGTGTGAAGTCAAGCATATTCATACATGCAGGTGTACAAGTATTTAACTTTTCTGTACACTTAACATGATTATAACAAAATGTTAGAGAAATAACAGAGTATATACTTAAGATTTGACTCTGAAAGCACCCATCTCCCTACTTATGATGCTAATAGAGATTTTCTAGGGCACAGGAAAAGCCAAAAAGCAATATGAAGTCGAGCTATATTTATTTGTGGACACAGAGAGAATAGTAGACACACGTTCCTTCGTCAATACAACCTGAGAAACAAGCCATCTCCCCTTGCTGCAGGTGCTCCCTCTCGGCCAGACTATTAACAAGCGAGACTCTCTAGGTTCTAAAGAAAGACGACTGACAACTATAAACCAGGGGCATTCTATGGGGGCAGAAAGGGGACAGGATCAAAGCAAGGGAGGGAAGAGCACATGGGACTATGGTGATGGCACACAGGTGAAGTGGTGGTGGGAAGTCCACAGGGATTACAACCAAGATGAAAAAAGAAGTACAAAATGAAGAATGATATGAAGACATACATATAAAAAAGAAAGAAAGAAAGAAGACTATGGATATGTCTATCCCCAATGTAAGAGACAAGTAAGAGTAAACTACCCAAGCTAGGAACATCACTTATTTTCCTCTTCTCAATATAATCATTCTTTAGGGAAAAAAAAGTCCCAGCTATGGAAAGTTTTATTTCCACTGAAGTTTCTCTAATAAAGTCTTATATTTCTAATATTATTAGGGAAAAAAAGAGAGAGTATATTAAACATCAACCTTGGTATCACATCAAAATGCACAATATGTCTGTAGGCTCAGTATTTCCAAAGCAAATCTCTCATAATCAAAATCCCTCATCAACCTTCTCATTAGCCAGCATTAGTGGCTGACACATTCATCCTTAGGAAGTAGTCCTTAAAAGCAATCACATTATGGACACAGACCAATAGATATATGATTACATAGGAAATACTGAGTTCAGTGAGAACTTTGTTGGACTTCATGTTTTCTCATGTGATGAATGACAGGTTTAGACTAAATTATTTCTATGGCCCCTTCACATACTGAAACAGCATATGTACTTGTCTACTGTATGGTATAGCAAAACTTTAAGTCATTTAACCTCAATAATAAATATTCGAGAGTTCTAACATATGAATCCACTTTTAAAAAAACAAAAAACAGTAAATGGCTTCAGAGCTACTTCCTGTCAAGCCGACCTAAGGACACAAACATGATATTTACAGGATATTTACATATATTGCACAGTGTAAATATGCTGATATTCAAGCCTTGTTCAGTTAGTGAAACTGAGTTTGTGACTTAGAACCCAGTCCAAAATAATGAAGTTAGAAAGAAGGTGAATCAAAAAGAATGCCACCTACCACTATCCAGAGTAACAAAGGGAACACGAGACCTTTTTCTTTCCTTTTTACACCCACAGACTCCTCTGGTAAATTCTGTCTTAGATAACTGAACAGTTAATATGTAAAATTCCCATACCTCTTGGGTCCCCGTGTAAAAAACATGGCATGCTTTTCAACAGATTCCCTTTGGAATAGAGAAAAAACACAATGGGAGCTTAAAAAATCCTCTTTGGAAAATTTGTGACTTTACCACATGCTATCCAATACCATGAGCAGGGTGGTGTGGTAGGAAATGGGTGGATGAAGTTGGTGTGGATCTTGGGGTCAAGCATGTTCTTCCCTACTGCCTAGCAGGACACAACTAAATGCTTTCTAATACAATAACACTGATTCTTGTTTAGGCAACTCTTCCTCTAGTTCCCCAGGCTATAGAACATTATAATAAGAATGTTTCAGTTTTGATTAAAAATATATATCCTATCTACCGATACAGAATGATGTAAAATCATGCCACTTAACTTTTAAGCCAAGATTGACAAAACTTGAGATAATAAGGTAAACATAAAAATACTGAAAAACTAAGTATTTAAATCTCAGAAGAACCATCCAAACAGGTAGCAATGTAGATACCACAGATATAATTTACATCTGATTTTTAGAAGAGATAACATAACAAAAACTGGGCAAAGGTAGAAAGTTGTTTGATTCCATGTTTCAAATACAACTTAACTATGTGCTATTTATTCACCTATATAAAAATTAGGTTCTGTACAGAAAAACTGAGAAGGGAAAATCCCCAACTGATTTCACAACAGAATTTAAATAACTTGATTTGCATATCAGGAATAAAGCATTTAAGCTCTCTTCACCATCCCCAAACAAGGATGTTTAACCTTTGTTATCAATTTGAAAACCAAGAAATCACCCCAGTACTTTTTTTACAAGCCTATTCTTCAGAGACTCTTGGTATTACCTTTTCCTATAGGTAAATAGGTACTTAAAATATTTTAAGAACGTGGATCCTTAGTATCTTAATGTTTAACCTATTATCTCCATAATCTATTTTTTAAAGAATCGAGCATCTAAATGTTTAAAAATTGCTCACTATCCAAAATAAAAATTGACACAATGAGACTTCTTCAAGTAGTGAGATACCCAGGTTTTTCTTAACTAAGATGTAAATAATGTAATGGACTTCAGGTGATAATAAATAACTGGTAATAACATAAAAGTCATGCCATATAATCTTGAGGGCACTGGGGCAGTTGGAGCCTGTGCTCCTGCAGAAAGGAGCTGACAAAGCCTGGAAGCGTCCCCCTTTGAACTCAGCTGCATTCTTTTCCTTAAATTAAGTGATTCATATAAGTGAGAGCATTCCAAAGAAGGCTGACTCCTGAGCAGAGATCTGCAATATCACCAAAGCAAAGCATGAGGTATGGCTGGGGACCTTTCTGGCACATCCAACAAGATCTCAGAATAGACTAGTAGATGAAATAAAAGAGCCACTGGACTAGATATCCAGAGGATATGACTGTGAATGTCTGATGCTTTCAGGAGACATTTATTTTAGACCACGATGGACCAAAGAATAAAATAGTAAGTTTTTAAAGACCAGGAGTGAGAAGACAGAAAGGGATACTCCCCAAATGTTTCACCTAAGTTAAAGCCTTCATAGGCTAAAATTTAACCAACTACAAAATTGGCTTCTCCAATTTTGAACCCCTCTCCTAATGGGAAGTAAATCATATTGGTTGTAAAACATCTTTGAATCAGTCCATGACTTCTCCAATTGCTAAAAAAAAAACTATTACAAACATGGAGCTTCCCTACGACCCAGCAATCCCACTCCTAGGTATCTACTCAAAAGACACAAAAACACTGACTCAAGGCCCTCCCTGGTGGCGCAGCGGGTTGAAGCACTGCACTAAGAAGCTGAAACCACTTCCGCATGAGTTCAATTCCTGCCTGCCCCGGAGGAGACCACATGGTGTGGCAGACCTCTCCTGACCCGCCCGCTGCTCCCCTCAGCAGTGTACTTCGTCGATCTGCCTGTTCTGCTCCCCACTCTGTCTGGTCAAGTCTTTTACCACCCCTGAGTCTCTGGCCTGTACCCCAGTTCTGTATGCGCAAATAAATAAATCTTTAAAAAAAAAAAAACACTGACTCAAAAAGATACCTGCACCCCCATGTTTATTGCTGCTTTATTTACAAATGGAAAAACATGGAAGCAGCCCAAATGCCCAAAAGTAGATGACTGGATTAAAAAGATGTGGTACATATATACAATGGAATATTACTCAGCAACCAAAAAAGAGAAACACATGTCTTTTGCAGCAACTTGAATGGAACTGGAAAAGATCATGCTTAGTGAGATAAGCCAGAAAGAGAAAGAAAAATACCGGATGGTTTCACTCATAGCAGGAGTATAATGGACCAGGCGAGAAAATAATCAGAATAATGAACAGCCATATACCAGAGACATTTTGTGGGGGTGGAGTGGGGAATGGGATCAAAAATGGGGGGGTGGGGAGGGAAATGCACGGGATTATGGTGATGGCACACGGTGACTCGGTGATGGGAAACCCGGGGGATTACAATTGAGATGGAAAAAGAAAAAAAAATGTACAAAACGATGTAAAAATAAACTGTTATAAAAAAAAACTATTAGGCAGGGGTTGTTAATTAAGATGATGATCAAGATGACAGTGAAATTGCAGAATGAATAACTTGCTTAAGGAAGAGGTATCTATAAGCTTAAAGCAATGCAAGGCAGATTAAAAAATACTCAAACTGGTCAGTTATTTCTGTGATTGCTGTCATCACCACCACTATCATGTCACTTTCATCACTGTCATCCAGGCCTTACGGGACATTCTTAGTTGTCCTCTGTGTCATTTCTATGCTGGTCTCAAAAGACAAGAATGAACAAAAGGAGTTCTTTTCTTACTGATACATTTTAAGTCAAGATTTAAAACAAAATAGTACAAGTTAGTCTAACCAGGTTAATACTTAAGCAAAACTGATCATTTTCCTCTCTTTCGTATGGTCTCTCAGAGCCAAACATTTAGGCCATTCCTCACCCCTGCTTTGCAAGTAGCCCAGGGCTACTGCATAGCGTGACTCTTGTTACTCAAGACCAACAGAGCTCAACTATCCTGCTTGGTGGCAGCTCAGCTCCCTAAGCCTTCCCCAGCAGCCCCACCTTCCCGGGAAGAGAGCCTTCAAGCTCCAAATCTGCCTATCAGTCAGAAAATTGTCACTGCTTGAAGTACCCCTGTATCATGTATTCTTTGTTTCAAACTTAGCCCTTCAAAGTAATACTTTATAAAACAGACATCAGAAATGACAGTGCACATTCTATTACTAACCACATTCTATAACTCGTCCTCATGCTGTCTTTTTAGTCTTTTTATCACCAAAGGGGACCACACCTGATGCCTTCTGATACAGGTAGTCTGCGCACTGTTCCCCTTGGTTCTGCTTATGGGAACTGTATGGCCCTGGAAATAACCCCCTGAAAGAATATTCCACCCCCAGCTCTGAGGTCTGCATGTCTAGGGGCTGAAAGACAAGAGCTGGCCAACCCACAGTGATACACAGGTACAGAGAGCAAAGGATTCAAGCAGGCTCATTACCTAGAAACTTCTCACAAGCTACACAAGAGATATCCAAAATGACCTGCAAATATTTCCCAAGGTGGAGCAAGCAGGCTCCTCAGAAACTTGGAAAAGTTACAATACCTTTTTTCTCCTGGGGGTTCCGGTAAGCTGTATGCTCTTTGCTCTGCAAGACACAAAACAATATAATGAAAACTAACGCTGATGAGCTAGCAATCATGTTAGTCTAAAACAGACATATTTCATCATCTTATTTCAATATACATACCACCAGTTCAAAACTAATGCTATAACGTCATTTTATATAAGCAGAAAATTGCTCTGGATACCTTTACCACTTTTCCTAGATTGGAGAAGATGAACAAGAAGCCAAACATGGTAGCATTTCATGACTTTAAAGTTAGCATCAGCCAAGGGCAGCAAACATTTTCAGAAGTGCAGAAAATTAGTTCTATCTCTTTGGCTATTTCTCACCAGAGACATCCCTTTTTCATAACACTAATCCCCCCAACATCAAAAACCAATAAGTACCTTAGCTCTTTCATAGCAAAGCTCAAAAGAAAAGTCTTCCTTAAGGCCAGCATAAGGAAGAGTCTGTGTTTAATGCAGCTACCACCCCCTTTATAAAGTCCTTGCAGCAGCCAGTTCAGGGAAGTGCTGTGTGGCTCCTGGGAAAGAACTATCTTTCCCAGTGGACTGAGTGGGGCATAGAAAGGGCAGGTTCATGCAAGCAAGTCAGCACCATCTCATTTCCAGAACTGGAGTACTTACTCCGGGGATGGAGCAGAGACACTGATTTAGACAGTGAAAGAGACTGAAGAAGGGAACGGCCACTGTGGAGAACACCATCTACAGAGCAGGGACAAATCCTTTACCGTTACAATCCAGAAGAGCAAAGAGGCTAAACTAGGCTGTAAAGGGAGATGGCCAGATATGTAAGGGGGAAAATTAACAAATACATGTCCTCTGACATATGCAAATATCAATTTCACACTAAATACTATTTTGTAAGTAACAGACAATGTCCTTTAAAGAATTTGAAGGCCTTATTTTACTGCTTTTATTAAAGCTCCTCACATTAAGTTCCTCATATTATAAATAGGCTGAGCTGCTAAGAGAATAAGCAACATGACCGAAATAATCCAACTAAAAATGTGCAAGACATCTTAAAACAACTAGCAACAACATATGTTGGTGAGGATGTGGAGAAAAAGGAACTCTCCTGCACTGCTGGTGGGAATGCAAACTAGTAAAACCACTATGGAAAACTGTTTGGAGGTTCCTCAAATTGCTAAACATGGAGCTTCCCTATGACCCAGCATCAATCCCACTCCCACGTATCTACCCAAAAGACACAAAAACACTGATTCAAAAAGACACCTGCACCCCCATGTTTACTGCTACTTTATTTACAGTAGGAAAGACATGGAATCAACCCAAATGCCCAAAAGTTAATGACTGGATTAAAAAGATGTGGTACATATACACAATGGAATATTACTCAGCAGTCAAAAAGATGAACTTGTGCCTTTTGCAGCAACATGGATGGAACTGGAAGAGATCATGCTTAGTGAAATAAGCCAGAAAGAAAAAGAAAAGTACTCAATGGTTTCACTAGCAGGAGCACAAAGGACCTGGAGGGGGAATAATAATGAACAACAATATACTAGAGACATTTTACAGGGATGGAGTGGGGAATAGATAAAAAATGGGGGGGGGGTGCATAGGACTACGGTGATGGCACATGGGTAATTTGGTGATGGGAAGCTCACAGGAATTACAACTGAGATGGGTAAAGTCACAAAATGATGTAAAAATAAACTATTATAGTAAAAAAAAAAATGTGCAAGAACCATGCTTAGGCAGTTAGACAAAGTCTGATAGGATTGATTCCAACCATCAGTGCATGAGAATTTTCAAAAATACTTCCCTTCTCAAATCCTTACAGTACAGAACATTTGTCCATCTTGGGGAGGCTGTTGTCATCACTGCAATATTGTTCCTCTCTATCTAAACTCACCAAAAGGAGGACAGGATTGGATTTTATTTCATGTGTACAAACAAAGTTGCCACCACTGTACTCTTGGTTCATAAAAAAAGCATGACAACATGATAGTATGTAACTCTTCAGGAGTAACAGGGAAGAGAGAACATCACATTTAAGAATAAATGGAATGAAAGACTATTCTATTTTTTGCATATTATAGCTTATATACAGAAGTTTCCCACTAGAGCAAAGGAGACTTACACTCTGTTTAAATACAGAAATTCTTTGCAACTATTCAACACTCATCAAAGAGGACTTACAGCAAAACAAATGTCAATTTGGGCCCTCCTTGGTGGCACAATGGGTTATAGCCCAGTACTACAAAGCTAGTCGCAGCCACTGCAGCAGTTCAATGCCAGGCCAGGGAGCTGATCCACATAGCACAGCAGACCTCTCCTGACCCACCCGCTGCTCCCCTCAGCAGTATATCTCATCAATCTGCCTATTCTGCTCCCCACTCTGTCTCTGGTGAATCCTCTCACCCTCCACCCCTCTGGCCTATACCCCAGTTTTATATGCATAATCTTTTTTTAAAAAATGTCAATTTACCTCTCATTAATCTAAGCAACAAGTATCTTTCTAGTCAAGTTTTCACACCTATACTTTGATAACACACAGTTAATATTAATCCTCCTTAAGAGTAAATTTATTCTTCATATTTTGATTGACTTAAATGGTGTCAATAAATGTTGGCAAATATACAGGAATATCCATTAGACTCTGTACATTTAGTGTGTAACTTCAATCAGAATTGCCTGTTTGCAATTCTTGCCATCTGGGAACTAATAAACTTCACTAACATGTCCCTATCTTGAAATACACTGTCTAAAGATAAGATTTACCTTACAGAAAAATCAAAGGCTTTTGATACCACAATTTATTCCTTCTAATTCAAATGCAAAGATTTAAGGATTGTTTGTAAGTGGAAAATACCTCCTTTCTTATTCATTAGTCATAAATCAGAGCTCTTTCCCCTTATAAACCATCAATTTCCTCTCTATCATCTCATCAGTAATTTCAAACTTCAGAAATGTCTAACTTTTAAAATAAAAAAAAACATGGCAGATACAAAGGCAAGCCTCTCATTCTACACATTGCACAGACTACCTGAAGATGTTTTCCAAACAGGTAAAGCACAAAGTTAGTTTCCCATGTAGGACTTAGCAGGGAAAAAAATACCAAGCTGGGTAAAGTGAATTGCAACTTCAACAGGGGCTAGGGAGACCCAGGGATCCTGGAAACATGAGATGGAAAACAAAATCCAGCATAAAAGCAACCTAACTTTTTTCTGTACTCTCAAGGCAGCTTTATTCTTTCTTAATCTTTTTTCCATCTCCCAACTCTAAAAATTAAGCTGACACAGTTATTACCAATCTTGCTTTTGCTTCTTCCAGTAAGACTTCCCAGAGAAAGAAAAACATGACTAGTATGCTTGTTCTATACTTTATCAATCTTACCCATTATACTCATTCAAAAATTTTTATTAAACATCTCCCCCATACATCATTACTTTAAGATTACAGTTTCAAGTACAAAGATTATCTTCAATATTGCTCCAAATAGCATAAAAATGCAAGTCAGCAGTGTAATAAAACAAGAATAAGAAAAATGGAGTAAATTAAGTCCAATTTTAAGTCATGTATAATATTAAGTGAGAAGTATATTTCATGTTTTGTAAGTATTTTAGACTCTTCTGGATAATGGATAAAAGGGGTATTACCTCATACATTGACAAAAACATTATGGCAATGCCATGTTACCGATTGTCATTCCTTGTGCATGTTAATGCAATTATTGCATGATTATTTTATGCACAGAAAGCATGAAATGATTACATTTTAAAACAAAGCTGAAAATGGAGTGTTGACTGCGAGAGTCTGTAAAGACAGTTCTTAGGTGTTTGTAATTGTTCTATATGTTGACCTGAATTCACTTTTGAAAATTCATCCAGTGCCCCCTTTCTGTAGGTATACTACATATGAATTAAAATTTTATTGCATGAAAGCCATATTTTGGATTCCTCACATTGCCACAAAGATGTTGAGATATTTGCTCATTTTTCAAGTTTGTTAGTCAACAACAAGGGTTTCTAAAGACCCTTGCTATAGAAAGGAAGAAAATTAATTTGGCAATGCTTAGATTCTAAAAAATAGGATTATTTCAGCAAATAACATCAATAGATATCTATCATTAGATACAGGATGAAAGTATCTTTTAATAAAATCCTCCAACACCCTCACAATGATGAACCTAAAATAATTTCTAGTTTATATTACCTTTGAAGAAAACATTTACTCTAAGAATAAAGCAACACAGCATATATATTTATAATTTCATCAAAATCAAATCTATAACTTGATTAATACAGAAAAAAGATTTTACTAACCTAAGGAAAACCAATTTGAAAATTCTTGCCTGTTAGGTTATTCTGACAGAAAATCTACTCCCAAATAGAATTCTTTCAAAGCCAAGTGGTAAACAGTTCTTACTTACCTTCACTTGAATTGCACACTGTAAAATCACGCACCAACCGAGATTTTCCCAAGGAAATTTTGGGTGATGAGCATGAATAAGAACGTGAGCGGACTCCAGAAAGTAATGATTCCTAGAAGGATCATAATAAAATTAAAAATAAATTCTCCACAAAATTTGAAAGTAATGTTGACTATCAGTGTTCCTAAGTCAGCAACTTTGAAAGAAAATTATACTTTTCTGATATAACTTTATGAATGGTTTCTACTTGCCTCTAACAATTTTTAAAATGTTATTTTTTAATGATTTAGTAAACTTTTAGCTTTTGGGAACAATCCTGTATATATATTTAAGAAAAGTTATATTCCAATCAAATAGATATAAATGGAAAGTTCAATATGACTTTTTTTCTCTGCATACTCAGAAATTTTTTTTCACGGAGTTGTCAATTTTGTTAATTTATACTGCAGCATTTAAACAAAAAATCTCTATTAACTGACTTTCTACTTGTAAGGATTATTAGGAGATAAGGAATCCCAAATTAATAGTTTTAAAACTTCCAAACAGCTATTTGAGCCTTAAATGTCAGAATTGCATCTAGAGGAGAATGCACTGGATGTACATACAAATCCTTCTACTCTGTGTTCGACTTTTTACAGGCCTTCCCCCTAGCACTTCCTAGAAGTTTAATACCACCGATTTACAATTTCTTTTAATCCATTTTAAAAACCTGCCTTTGTTTTCCCACTGCATATTACTTCCAGTTATATTAGCAACATATGTGAAAATGCAAGGTGGTAGAAATGTGATTTTCTTGTATGTCCTAAAATCTTAAATGAATATACAACAGAATGCCATGAATGTCTGTTAAGGCACCCAACTCCCACCGAACAGTAGCCTAGAGACATCAGAAGTCACACCATCCTTCCACCTTTAAGATGCCACCTTAAGGAGAGGGTTAAAAGAAAGTAATGCAACATTTGTTACTAAAATCAAACCATCAGCAAGTCCTGTACAAGCACAGCTCTCCTTGGTACTCCTTAAGTGAAAACACATGGTTGTCTCAGGGTCACTGATTTAGTTTAAAGAGCCTAGAGGAAAGCTGAAAACAGAAGCTGCATCCTGCTTCAGAGGGTCTGCGCTGTGGGCCTCTGATTTTCTTGAGCGGAAGATTCAGCCTCCTGGTTGTCAGGAAGCCAGCCCAAGCTGTACACATCCCTAAGGGGAGCCAGCCCCCAGGGACCAGAGCCAAATGCCATCCCCTGAATTTAACTCATGTATGGTAATCACTTTTCATAGTAATGGGATTTTGGAAATCATCCAGCACCCTTTGGCAAAACGCTAGGCAGGGTAATTAGAGAGGCAAGGCAGGATTTATTTGATAGGGCAGAGTCTTCTTAAAGGTGAACAACATGGGACTATTTCACAAAGACTGAATTACTTTTTTTCCAAGTAAGGGTGAGATTTTCACATTCACATTGCAAAATTAGCAAGTGCCTACACTTAACCATACTCACTGCTTAGTACCCAGAAATAACACATGGTCTTCAGATTCCCAAGATTATGACAGCTCTCTAGTCCTCAGAGCTGAGGGAAGGGGGTTCAGGATGTGTGGTCGGAGGGTTTAAGTTCTGATTCTGGCCACTGAGTAGGCAACTGAGACAAGACAGTCTCATCTGCTCAAAGATGTTAAGAACTACTTACGTCCTAGGTGAGTTTGAGAAAATTATATATTTTGTACATATATAAAATATGTTTTGTAAATAGTAGAGCATAAACATAAATAAAACATTTAAACAACCATATGTGCACAGTTGAGACATTTGGGCAGGGCCTTGCTGTTTTCACGTAGTAAACTCAAACTGAACAGAAAGAAGTGGACAATAATAGAAAACAAAAAGGAAATATATGTTCAAATAAAAAGGGATTTCTCTACAAAACTGGAAGAGTTAAGTTTACAAAAACCAAAAAATAAAAACCAGCAGCAAAAAAAAATATGAAAAAGCTAACTAGAGAAAAGTTGTCTCATGGAAAAACTGACAAAAGTTTTGGGTGTTTCATATTCATGCAGCCAGAAAAGCTCAACAAGCATCACCTTTGCCTTCGTAATATTATTTACCTTATCACCTGGGTCAAATTTGATCACTTAACCCCATATAATACTGCTACTAAAATTTTCCAAATATGTGACCAATTGCATGAACTGATGGTAAATTGATGAAAATGTAAATGAGCCCTTGTAGGTGAGGACTATACCCAAAGAAAGCAATAGAGAGATGAAAAAGAAAGACTCATTCAGACAGGCCATGGTCTCGAAAAAGAAAAAAAGAGCTTGCACATATGAATAAAACATAATTTGTCTTTCAAGTAGACAGATATATTTAGACAACCTATTTCTGCACTTAGTATAAACTAATGAACAAGAATACCTTCGACTGCAGGTTACTTGATAAAGAAAGTGACTCGGTCCTGGAGATATTAAAGTCTGGCTCATTGGTGGTCTCAAAAGAATCCAGTTCATCCCCACTAGGAATCCCAGTTCTGGAGGAATTCTGCAACCCTGGGGTGTAACAAAGGTGTGGCTGCTCCGGCTGCCCTTCCCCTTCGCTGTCGGCGTCCAGGGCATCAAGGCTAGAACTGAAGCACAAAGCAAGCAAGCAGGTCAGCCACAGAGTACCAGATGAGCTGAGTCACCGGCTTCTGTTTCTCTGAATTCAAATTCTCATTTAATTTCTAATGAAATCTATATTTGAATAGTTTTTATTGCTCTTTCCCTACCCTCAAGCCTTCTCTTTTAAAACAAAATTTTATGTTGCTCCAGATAAACATTTCTAGCTAACAAAAGTGATTTTGAGTACTTTAAGGAAAAAAAGTTTGTCTAATAGTCTCATTTGCTTATTTTGGCTTTTGTTGCTCTTACCGTTGGCATCAAGACTCCAAAGGCGTCCCTGAAATAAATGTCTGAGTGTTGTCCTATTTTCTCCTATGTGTTTTATAGTCTCTGAGCTTACATGCAAGTCTTAATCTATTTTGAGTTAATTTTTGTGCATAGTGTGAGATAGTGATCGATCTCATTCTTCTGCACAATTTCCCCAATACCGCTTGTTGAAGAGACTTTCCTTTCTCCATTGTACACTTTGCTCCTTTGTCATACATCAACTGCCCACGTGAAGTTAGTACTATTCTCACAGTAGTATCCTTTTTTGTAAATGTAGTTAGTAGAGGCCCCAGTTACTGTTTAAATATATAAAATGCATGAACAGCCACAGGGGGTCCTCTGTAGAGATTTGCAAGTGGAAATGCAGAGCCTGGCATTCTCTACACAGCCCTCTTGGCTGAAAAGGTCAGGGGGGTGGAGGGATACAAGTTATGCAATGTCCTCATCCCAGACTTAGAGTCAACACACAGGTCAGACATGAACCAAGTAAGGTCCCAAATATGTACTATTATCATGTTTAGAGCTTTTTATAAATGATTCTCATAGAAATTCACCTCAGAAACAGGTTGTGATTTTATCAACTACTGTTCTTTCCTCGTCTAACTTTTATAACCATAAAGTCAAAAGGAAAGAACTTGACCTCCCACATTCCTGGCTCATTCCGTAACATTTGTATTTTAAATCGCTCAAACTGAGACCAGTGGCTTTCACATGCATGTAATACACAATGCATTTTCAAATGTACTTTTCTTTGAGAAAAATTACTTTGAAAATTCTCGAAGTCGTACTTTGAGTCTTACAATTTTATCACTAACACAATGAAGCCATTTAGATTTTGAAATGCAGAGAACCAGAAAATGAAAACATGAACAACCATTTGGATTATTTTTGTTTAAAAGAACCATATTTAATAGCCACTGCATATCAGCTTATTGAATTATACGATGCTTGGAACAGAGCTACAGCAGATATACTGCTCGTATATGTACATATATCCTATACTGTATTAGTCCTTGAATTAATTCCTGAGCCCCTCCCCACACACACCTCTACCACCAGCCCTGCTCCCTGCCTCCAAGCTGGGACATGTTACAGAGGCTTTTAATTACCTTTACTCAGACTGGATAGTTTTCCAATACTCTGAAGAGGCAAAACTCTATCCACAGTGGTGAGATGTTTAAACTTCCCAGGGCAAGAGCATGAACAGAGAGTGTAATTTAGATAGCCCGTGAATGTGTTTGCACAAGCCAAACAGAGGGGGCATTGTGTCCTTCCTTCATCTAGTCCTACAGTAGTTCCCATAGAGAATGTGTTCACTTTCCTTGGTCACACACCCCACAGAACTTAATTGCCCAGAATGCTGTAATCACACACACAGTTAAACCTGTTTTTGCAGAACTATACAGCACCTACGCTGCACAGGTAGCCTCTGATCACAAGCAGATCTATGGGGAGTAATCACCACCCACTGAATTTAAACCACAAATCATTAAACGCAGACACTACTTTTGATACCAATACATGCTCAAATTTTTCAACCTCACGTGACTGTTTATCAGTGCAAAGTACCCAGAGATGAGCACCCGCAGAGCCCTGCTCACTGCCTTTTTCTCCTTTCTCATCAATGAAATCTCTGCTGAATGGTCATTCACCTTAGTTCATTAGATAGCCATTCACAGTTTTTTGATTCATGATTTCAAGTGTATAGCTATTGCCATAGTGAATTCAGTCTCAATACTGTACAGCGTTCCGTTGTGTAACTGTATCTAAACTGAAGCATTTCCCATTTGGGTTCTTTCCTGTGTTGTAAATACTCATGTACCTGCCTCCTGGAACACAGGTAAAACTGCTGGGTCATAAGATATATACAAATCTAACTTTATGAGATAATGCCTAGTTATTTTCTGAAGTTGTTAATTTTCACTATCAACTATAACAGGATTTCCCACTTTATGCATTTTCTTGGTGAAAAAAGTTTATGGTCAAACTTTTTAATTTTTTTGCATACCTAGAAAGTATAAAATAGTATCTCATCATGATTTCCTTAATTTTGTCAGTTTTACTAAATGTCTTATTTTCAAATCTAGGGATGAAGAAACCTAAAAGGAGGCGACATGTCGGTTGAGTCAGATTAAAAATAGTAGGAAGAAAAAACAAAGAAATTTCCAAATCTAGCTATAAGGTTCTTTCATTTTCTTTAATTTTCCTCTATAACATAACATCTTACCTTCTTTTCTTCAGCTGACTTTGTTCCTTTTTAAATCCATGAAGACCAAAAGATAGATTCAAATCGGAAGCGTATGAACTAGATGGTGACGTGAACAGCTGTTGGGCCTCAGTGTTTGATGTCACTTTCTTATTCTCACTTAGTGGGTACATGCCAGGGTGGGCTTCAGTAGGAAGGATGTGCTTGCAGCTCTGAGGCCCCAGGGTAGAACCCATGGATTCAGGGCAGGAGTTTGTAGAGATGCCCTCTATATTAATATAGTTAATATCCAAGTCACCAACCTGGTAGTTGAAAGAAAAATATTTGCTGAGCAAAAGCAGGAAAGATTGGCTTCATTAAGAAAAAAGAATTCCCAATTTTAAAATCTTCCACCTTATCGCTTTTGTTTATTCCTATTTTTGTTTTGTTTTAGGTTACAGAGATAAATCTTTCATGATATGTTTTCATTCACATGGCTACTATCCCCTATTTCACAAAAAAAGGGAAAGGACCGACTTGTTATGTGTTTTACTAACATGAAGTTATTCTTTAACATTTTATGAACCACTGACTAAAAAAAAAAAAAAAAAAGGAAATCTCCATGAGGTTGAGGGAAAAACTAAAAATTAGGCATCTTTATTATAAAAAGTAGTTTATAGGAATCTGGGCAATCATGGCACTGGTGGTCATGTAAATATGAATCTCCCAAAAAGTAGTATCAAAAATCATAAGAACAAACAAAATATATGGACCTAGTAAAACAAGAAGACAAAAAATGCCCAAACTTGTAACTGCCTATAAATAACAATGTCAAACCTCAGCAACTTGTCATATTCTACTAAAAACTTTTACTGGGTAAGAACAATCTGGAAATTCTCTAGGGCCAAGAGAAGAGGGAGCTAGTGGAGTTCCTAAGATTGATCAAAAACACCATGTGCAAAAGGAAGTCCACCCTATATGTTGTCAGAGTCCTGGTGATCCAAGTGCTAACTAGGAAAGGAGCTAGTAAGTATTGCTGATCCCGGGTGGAGTCATCAAAATTCATCACACCGTAAGTAGAAAACAGCAGAAAGGAAGACAGTGACACCATTTACACATCAGGTAGTAAAGGGGAAAAGTTGCAAGGGAAATTTAGGATCCAAAATCAACTACTGCATAAATAATTTACTAAAGAAAACTAATCAATGAATGCTCAAATTAGTGGGTGAGAACTAAATAAGTGCACAGGATAACTACAGAAACACAAATTCTCTGCCCACTAACAGGAAAATGTAATTTTACTGAAAAGAAACTTAGTAGAACAAAGATTATGTCACCAATAAGGGACAAATTAATAAGCTCAGAAGAGCACAAGATCATTCTTGTAATATCCCTGCCAAACACAGATCATGAACCTAACGAGGAAATGCCAGACAAATCAAAATTGAAGGACATTCCAGCAAAAACAGAAACATCACATTAATTTTTCAAAATTATCAATGTCATTAAAGACACAGACTAAAGGACTATCCCATATTATATGAGACTAGAAAGACGGGAAATTAAACGCAATACATAAAATTTTCTTTTTGGTAAAAACAACTGGGAAAACTGCTTAAAACTTAATGATATCTATAGACAGCTAATAGTACTGTGTTGAAAATGACTTCCATATTTTGATAACTATATGAGCTTCTATTAGAGAATGTCCATGTTTTTAGGGAATATATGCCATTAAAGATTGTGGAATAAGGAATAGCCTTTTTTAGATTTACTTTCAAATAGCTAAATAAATACGTTTATATGTGTGTGTGTGGGGGTGTGTATATATATATAGTAGTCTTTGTGTCTTTATATGTAAAGAATGTACATGTGTACACAGAGTAATAAAGTACAATATGATAAAATATTAGCGTTTGAGGAATTTTGATGTGGGGCACATAGAGATTTGTATAAACTATGTATTAAATTATGTATTTCTGCTTAAGTATTATGTATTACTACTATTGACATATGCAAATATTTTTCTAAAGTAGCTAACATGACAGTACTTTTTCAAATTTTTGGTCATTTTTATCATGAATTTCTTCATCTGGTAGACTGACAGACTTAAGAATCAATGGGAAGCAGCACTGCAAACAAGCCAGGCGTTTAAGTTTCTTGAGCGTCTTTGTGGAAATCCAGTAAGATTCTTTCCAGATACTGCTAGAAATTATTTTAAGTATGCAGGGACCCTCATGTTGCCCTTGACATATACACGAACGGGAAGAAAAGCTGCACAGCAACCACACTGTGCTGATACACTGAACTTTGTGATGTATATCCAGATTTTTATTTGTTTCAATCCACAAATTCAGGATGTTTTGCTAAATTTTAGTTTTACCAATACATTGAGTTATATCTTTAAAATGATTCACATTGGGCCCTCCCTGGTGGCGCAGCAGATGAAAGCACAGCACTAAGAAGCTAAAACCACTTCAGCATGAGTTTGATCCCCGCCTGCCCTGGGGGTGACCACATGGCACAGCAGACCTCTCTTGACTCACCCGCTGCTCCTCTCAGCTGTGTACTTCATTAGTTGGCCTGTTCTGCTCCCCACTCTCTCCAGTGAATCCTCTCACTACCCCTGCACCTCTGGCCTGTACCCCAGTTCTGTATGCATAAATAAATAAATCTTTAAAAAAAATTATTCACATTGCTAAAACAGCACTCTCATCCAAAATATTCCCAAGCAGAAATTAAATCCTAATCTTTTATCTTTGGTTTGGGAAGTTTGACATTTGTAATGTATGTTTGAACATATAAAAGCAATTGTCTCCCACATAATATTAGGCCATGTACAATTTTAGCTACTAGAGTAAATGAAAATATTGTCCTATTCACTAAGGTACAGAACAATAACCAAAAAAAAGAAATATTTCATTTAAACTTCTGAGAATATATGACAACAGGATAAAACCACTAAAATCAGAACATAGCTAGAGGACAGGAAGTCTAACGAGCCTGTATCTTCACACAATGCCCCCCATCTCCCAAATTGATCTTTAACCCTGTGCCTCACCCTTCACTTCTATAATTCAGGCTGAAATTGAGCTGCTTTATGCCAAAAAAAAAATTATTTATAGCTGATGCTCCTTCTTATAAAGATTCCCCATCATTTTGAATGTCATCCTATCTGCCGCATATATATTATGCATTTGACAAAAGGAAAAAGCAGTGATGTTGAGCTAAAGAACGGAAACTAAGGTTTACGATAGGAAAAAAGTTATACCATAGAAAACATCTATAAATAAGAAAACATGATAAATTTATAGTAACAACAGGTAGAATACCTGTTGTTCAATGAACACATACATGGCGTGCCATCATGGAGATCTGGTTTTTGAGTTGATAGACAGAAATTGTATGCTGTCAAAATTACCCTTGAAAATCCCTTAGGTCTCCCACAAATTATGGAGTGCAGAAATCTTCAGATCTACTTATAAATACTAAAATTTTAGATCACCAATCTAGAGAAGAACACAGAGTAAATCCACATGTCAATGATGAGCATCCTATCATGTACCTTTGTGAGATTGAACTCACTGAAGGCTGTTATAGAATGGGTGGGGAATTTTCTAAGCTCCCAGCTTCCCTGTAACATGACACCATTCTTTTTCAATGTCAAAGCTCTCCAATCTTAGTACCTGTTAATAGGTGTGTTGTAAGGATTAACCAAGTAATTTATGTGACAGCAATACATGAAGCTGGCACCAAACCCTGGCTGAGAATCATCTGCTGACTTTGAATACAAATACTGTTTCATCCGATTATATACACACTGTTCTTTAAAAAGCTTTTTAGTCTATGAATAACCATTTCCTACTTTAGACCCATCTCACTTGGCAATCACTTAAGACCCTCCTCTATTGCTTCACAGTGGGCTAAATTGTGCCATGTTTTGAGAGAAGGACCAAGTTAAGTGCTGAGATGGTACGAGGCCACATCACTTGAGCAGCTCACAGGCTGAAATTTTCTGAGGCCCACAACAATGCTGAGTTGCTTATATGCTTATGAGATTTTAGAACGAGGACAGAGCCACCTTGTCACATCAGTCACGCCTTACCTGATCTATAACCATACAGTTAGCATAGACTTCATCGCCACCATTCAGCACATCAGAAATCTGGCCAGTGGCAAGGAATGTGGGCGGATGCTTGGATTTTTTTAGGACATCACAGGAGCGATCTAGAGGAAAAATGAAAAAATAAGAACAGGACATATAAAATAAGAAAAGGACATATTTTACATTTGAATTTCACCTTCTTAATCCATCCATATTGGGGGGGGGGAAGGGATGAAGACTGCATTTTCTTAAAGATGGCATTTTGCTGTTTTCACACATTAAGGTGTACCTGCCAAGTATTTTCTATATCCAAACCGTCTCAGTTATTTAAAGTCTTCATAAAGAATCTAAATAGACATATGCCCAATTTAAACAGTTATTCCAATAGTGAGAGATTTTTGGAAAAATCAGTTAGACTGCAATCCTAACATTAAGCTAAAATTTGTTTAACTATATCAATACCTTGGAAGCATTAGCATTTATTTACACTGTGATTCTCAGCTCCACTGGAGTATGCAAACTCCATGATCCTTTAATGAATGACCCAAGATAATACAAAGTCTAGACGTTCTAGTTCTGGTTCGCCTTCTGAATGTGACCAGTCATACAGAAAAAGTTTTGTTCTATTTCAATTATAGGAAGCTTTTTGCTTGCTTCTACAAGCTCAGCTTTGTTCCAAATAGACGAGGTTGCTCCAAGTCCCAGAGATTTGTAGTGATACTATGTTTGTAGGGAACATAAAGTTGAAGGCAATAAAATATAGTCAAATCAGAATGCCTCATTTCCTGTAACTTTAGCTGAATTAATTAATCTCTAGATACACTTTACAGATTTTCTCATCCATAAAAGGTAGATTCTTACTATGTTTTAGTCATTGTATGGTTTGAGGATTAAATAATTTCAGTTATGCAAAGTGATTAACACATACCTAGCAATGAGTAAGAGTTCAACAAATATTAAATGTTACTATTATGATATTTTGTTTTTATTAATGTTGTTTTTAACCATGATCAATGTGAGGTACAAGGCTACTAACACTAATCATGAAAAGCGAAACTAATAATAATCAACATCTATAATGACATTAGCTAAGTTATATCCATAGCAAATGTCATCCTTACTAGCACTCCAATTAGTTGTCTTTAGTGGTACAAAGGGAGACTGTTGCCTCTAATCTATCACCTGTCTTATCGATGTAAAAATCAGGTAAGTACAGGGAATGAATCAAGAAAAGAAGAAAAGATTATTAATTGTTGGACCAATCTACCATAACTTATTTTAAAAAAAAACAAACCCTCTGTTCTTTCAAACATGTTATATAAGTTCAAAGTTATGTGAATTATATGAGTCAAATCTGGTTTAGGATTCAACCTCCAAATCTCCCTCTTCCCCAAAGAACATCACAGTGAGATTTTGTTAGAGTTCTCAAAGAAATATACAGTGTAAATGGAAAACATTGTCTTCTTATATTCATAGTTTTCTTTAATTAAGAAGCTAAGTAACTAGCAATATAGCACAAAGTCCACAATTGCTGAACAAGTATAATCTTTATGATCAATTACTATACATTATCATCCTAATTACACAAAATAAAGGCACATTCCAAAGTTTATAAATCAAAACCCTGACAAAACACTTTCACTGTGTTTGTGCTCATTCATTTGTCATTTTACATGTTTGAAAAACAATCATAAATAACACAGCTCTCCAATGTGTAATTAATCCAGCTTAACTGCTTTACAATATCATGAATTCACAGACTGTTAAACATCTGACATTTCTTCCATCACACTTGAGAGGCTGTCTGCACCCTGTTTTAACCCCTCCATCATTGCCAGATTAAGGTTTCACTGATAACTAAACTAAGAATCAACAAAATAGTCAAGTGAAGCAATTCTAAGTAACTGATAGATTTCATTTTAAAAGCTTAGAAACAAAGGCAACATTACCCCAAACTGACTGTTGCTGGTCAGTGCATCCATCAGTCACTCAACAGCCATGTTCTCGTAAACCAAGAAAATGAGTTCTGTGTGCAGAACCCCACCCCCATACTTCAGGGATGAGCAAGACCAGGAACTACTTCTGTTTTTATGCACCAGTAAAAGTCTCTTGAATTCAATTCTTCTTCCACAGACAAATCTACCTGATTCAGAATCTGTAAGGAGATTATACCCAAACAGTAAAATAAAAGATGAAGGAGCTACTTGTTTATTCTGGGGTTTAATTTGCTTTCTGCATGTTTAATCTGCTCAGTGGCTTAGAAATGATGTAATTTATTTACAAAAATAGGTCCAGAATCTATCTGCAATTCTGAAATCCAGAAATCTCTAAAAATTAAAATGTTTTTTCATAAATTTGGTTCAAAAACATATTTGGTTATGAAATCTAAGCTGACCCACAGAGGCTGTCATATAGTCTCTATTTACTCTATTTGATGTGAATGTTTGCATGTTTGCTGCAGAAATATCCCAGTGCTTCATGATGGCATTGCCCCAGTGACTCCTCTAGGAGACATATCTAAAGTAAACACTATGCCAAAAAGACCTAAAAAGACTGAATTTGAAAACAAATCTGGTCCCAAGAGTTTCAAGAGAGATTATGGATCTCCATAAGCAGACACATGTCAGATCAGTATTTTCCATACAATACCTACTCAACACTTGTATTAATATATTCTCTAATACTGGTATTTAGATTCACCTTTTCTCCATAAATAAAATTTTCTCCATAAATAAAGTTTTCAAAATTTACCTGATCCCTGTTATAAATGGAAAGCTGGGATTCCTTGTCAACAGCAAAAGGATTAGAAGTACTATACTACAACAATGAAGACTAGACAATGGTACTACATCCTAACTACACACTGCTGCCCATCAAAACTAAGGGTGCCTGCTACCCGCTCCCTCTGTCATAGGGAACACGTGTATGGAGTCAAGACATGTGCAGATGCAAGGTAGCAAGGCGATTTTCTGCAGCAGAAAGATCAAAATGAAAAGGAGCTGCCTGCCCGACTATGCGATTCAATGCTAACTAGTTTCCAGTTGGAATACCATCACAGGATCAAAGATGCCTAGAAGACTTAACTTACACTTTGGGAAAACTTGTCTGTACCATGTCATCATCATTTAGACAAAGACACTCACTGAGACAATAAGACTTGTTAGTGGGGAGTGGAGGACCTGACTGTACAAAACAGCACAGTTGTGAGACAATAAGACTTGTTAGTGGGGAGTGGAGGACCTGACTGTACAAAACAGCACAGTTGTGAGAGGGGAAAAAAATCTCCTAAGACTGTTCACCCATAACCTGCCATATAAATTTCCTGAATCACTCACAGAACTCTTTATTAAAATGGACCCAAAAACTCGAGAGCATGTAGAGCTTTTACTTTCTAAAAGAAGCCAAATAATAATAGGATCACACACAGATGAACACACACTTATAAGACGACTTACAAGACCTTTGCTTCAGCACTGCAAATAATGGACTTCCAAACCAGCAGAAAAAAATTTATCTTGGTATGAAAAAGACTTCAAAGTGCTTTCAAATATACCTCAGCTAAATATATTAAAATAGCTAATTGTCCTAGTATATTTCAATCCAGTCAAAGAAACAGCTACAATGTTTTTTTTTTTTAACTGACCGCTCAAGATTTTCAAGATATATGATTTTTATTACTTCCATCTGTAAGCACTTTCTAACAAATTAAGTGAAAAATTACTGCCAAAAAATGTTCTTCAGATCCTTTTTCAATGAACACATAGAAATAATTTGCAATAAGAAAGCCAGCTTTTGTTCTTAAATTAATGCTGTTCCATAAATAGTTTTAGCAAAAAGCTAAAGTTATACTTTTGTCAGCATTCTTTTGTTTTTAAACAATTGGTAAGTCCATATTTCAGAGATAATATAAATGTAACCAAAACTCAACTCTTATCTAAATGGCCACCACAAATGTTAAGTTAGTGAATAGCAACCTATATATATTGCAGTAGTTAAGAGCACGGAATCTTGGCTGTCTGGGTTCAAGGCCCCACTCCCCTTCTATTAGCTGTGTGAGCCTGGGCAAATTACTTAACCTTTCTGTGTCTCCATTTCCTGATCTATAAAATAGGGATAATAATATATCTCATAGAGCTGATGTGAGGATTAAAAGACAGTATTTTAAGTAATGTGAGCATAACCTATAAATAAGAACTTAATTAAAATAAGCACTATATACATGCTATTATTGTACAAGGAAATGAGTTGTATGATTATGATACTTTAAAATTTTGATTGTTTGAAAAATAATTTTGACCTTGATTATAATTTCAAATGTTTGAAACCAATCCAAAGCAAAAGGAATGCATGAGACATTCCATTTGCTACACAAAGAGCTTTTTGAACGTTGTACAACCCTTTTATTTCAGACATAGATCTGGTTAAGAGATTTTGAAAAGTCCATCCTGATCATAGTAACTGAAAATCAAAGTCAAACTGCCAATAAGATTTACTTCTACCAACTCAAAAGATGAGATTCAGAAAATAGGAGGTATTGTAACTGCAGGGTGAACAAATAAAGTCAGACAATCAGAGACAGCATTTCTCAAGAACAAAGGGAAGGTTTTAGAAACTATGATGTTCTAACACGATGAAGTGGCCCTGAGCCAGGTTCTCACAGCGCAGTGCCTAGAGGATAAACAGTAACTCCAAGGGGATCCCCAGCTTTCCCCTAGCCCATTATTCTGGCAGCTTTGTAATGTGATCTGTGGAACTCTACAAGGACTCCCTTAAGCAGCAATTCACACAAGTACTTCCTTGCTATACTAAATGCCCTAGTAGGTGAACAGGAGAGTCAATTGAAAGTAAATATACCCCACCTAGAGAAAGCAGAGGAATTGGAACAAGTGAGAAGAGGTGGAGACAGCTGCCGATGCCTCCCCTTTCTCTGACAGTTACAAATATCCCAATCTAGCAGGAAAGAGAACTAGGCACAGACCTGCCCAGGCATTCTGCCACCTGATTTCTAATGAAGCCCAACTCTTCTCTAAGCAGCTAAAGGCTTAGGAAAATGTGGCCTACTTGACTGGTTATGTAAAAACCCACACCCAGACATAAACAAACCCAGCTAAGACAGCCTTCT